AGCCATTGTTCTGTTGTCTTTTCCTTTGGTTTGTCAGTCCTTTCTATTAAAGCCATATGATCTCATAATTTTATTTCTGTTGCTGATGTTTTCAGGAACAGCTGTAAGTTCAGCATCTGGAATAAAACTTGCTAATTCTTCTGTGTTTTACTATCAGCCTTACCTTTTGCCTTCAGGTTGTTTTTCTGAGTTTGTATCCCGCTATGTGAAGTGGCTTAATGTGAATATAAATAAACAAGTTAGAGAGCTCTCTGAGTAAGCCACAGTGAACTTGCTATARATTTTCCACTGTGATAGATCTGAAATCTTGTATTGACTTTCTGTACTTAGTCATGGATTGCCAGTTGCAGGGATTCAAGTGGGATTATCTATAACTGAAGATACTGGACTAGATACAAGGGGAATGATTTGGATTCCYATTTCAGTACTTATACTGTGTCTCCAGAAAGGCAAAAAATGGAAATAGGTGATGTGATTTCTATAACCCCATTGCTTTCAAGTGTCAAGTATATGTTGCACAAGAGCAGAGATGTGAGGCATAAATGCCATTAATGTTTTTTTGACTAGGTGCATTATGGCATTATTCTTCATTTCTTTACTCTTCTAGCTATGTGCAAAAATCATTGATGAACTTTGGTGATGTGTATCACTCTTCCACAATGACCTGGTGACTGCCAAAGAAATAAAGGTTGTATATAGTTGATAAGATGCAAAGTACCATTTCCTACTGAAGTAATTAAATGCTGAGTTTTGTCAGTGACAAGATGTAGTGGTGACAAAACGTTCGTAATGCAACAATCCATTGGTTTTGACAGACAAAGAAAATAATTGCAGTGTTCTCCCATTTCTTTCCTCTCATTCTGTCCACTTCAGACAAGTGCACTTGCAATATTATCAGCAACAATTCCTCTCCCCAAACTAAAAGYATATATTCGTTTTAGGATCTACTGTTCAGATGTAGGGTTGCAGAACAAGATTTGCAGAAATTCTTGGAAGAAGTCAGGAAATTTGATACAGTCATGAAACCTGAAATGGTGTCTKTGTGTGTACAACTGCAAGTTTGTAGAATAGTGGTGCATTCATGCTCTGGTCAGGACTCAATGGAAGAACGGAGTTTCACTTCTGACTTGCTGCTTTGCCATGCAAGGATCAGCTACTCAGTACTTCAGCATCTCAGCATTTCAAGCAGTGCCATTCTGTGTCCCATTCTGTAATTCTCACCAGATCTAAGAATGAGAATGAATTGGAGCAGTTGTTACTTATTCATTCTCTTCTGCAAAGTTTTTTATTAAGGAAAGCGACCATTCACCCAGAAGACTTCATTGAAATAGTGCCCATGACATTCATTGTTGATAACAGTAAGTGATTTTGCTTGATACTGATTTCATGCTTAATCCGTCATTGTAAAATGCAATTGTAATGCACAAAATGAAATTTAAATGCCTTTCAGAGTCTACCTAAAAACCACAAGTTGGCAGTGCTCTAGCCAGTCTGACCTGGCTTGTTTCTGTGTCTCTTTTGGGCTGAGACATTAGTACTTGCCTTGTAGGGATCACTGTCTGGGGCATTGCAGTAACACCATCCTCAACATAAAGTCACTGCTTTGCCACTAGATTTTAGATGGAGATTGCCTATCATTAGATGAAGCCCTTAACCTGTGTTATATGTACAGAAATTGTATTGCAGAATGGGGAATATGGTRCCCTGTCAGGTCACTGGTGTGTTAAAGAATGAAGACTTCAGGAAGTCAGCCTGTGCTCTGTTTACCCATAGCCACTGGTGTCTTGAGGGCAAAGGAGTACCATCTTCTGGTACCCATTCTTCTCTTTTCCCAGACAGAAAGAGAATAAAAGTCATCTTGCTAACCCACTGGGCTCTGGCTTGCAGTTTCTTCTGCAGATCTATGAGCAGAGATAAAGATGGGTTTAGCATTAACGATAATTAGGACTGGATTTAGGTGGGTAGTCAGGGGTGTAGCCAGAAGGTGGTTGCAYGAGCTGTGAAACTGCTTCCACTGTTGTCTTCTGTTTACCTGCCTTAATGACTGGAAACCAGAGCATTGGAAACACAAAATCAAATTGTTTTACTGATGCGTTTTTTACCTTTCACCTGGCAAAGATATCTTAAGTCATATTTCTTTAGGGTGCCCTCTTGCTGAGGCTGCAGTAAGCCTACTGCTAAGTTTGGAGAAAGGTCAGTTTGATACACTGGTGCTTTAAGTGGACAAGAGCAGCAATGGCTGCCCTGGCACTCATGGTAGGAACTGGTTTATTGGGGTTCACAAGAATCCTGCATTTGGCTGTGTGAGTTATGCAGCTGTTGCACTTAGTGGATGCATTATGGAGGGAAGCAAGAGTAAAATAACCTGAAGCGCTATGAATATATGAAAGACTGAGGTAAAAGGAAGGACAGAAGGGAGTTATCATCTAGATATCTGAACTAAAAAGGGAAAGGTGTCATGGAACTGAGGAATGGTGGCAGAAGGGAAAATGAGCCAATAAGGCAAGGTGTAGAGCCCTGAAGGAAAGCAGATGTGACCTGAAGCAACTGCTGAAGGAAGAAGGCAGCTCTGTCACGGCTGGGAGGAAATTCAAGGGGAAGGTAGAAAAAGAAAGGAAAGCTGGGAGGAGAGTTCTGGCAGTTGCAAGCAAATGAATCCAGAGCTTAGAGGATCATGACACTGTAGGACTGAGTGGCAATTTTTCTGGTTTTCAGTCATTTTTCTAGAGCCAGGCTAGCTGGTGGGGCCTTAGAGCAACAACTGCCTRTGAATGGCGCAGGAGCAGTGACAAGTTGCACCCTGTAATTTCTTCCTGTCTAGGTGGGGTTTGTTTGTMTGTTTGTTTTTTAAATGCCTGCCAGGTGGTTCTAGTTGAGGAGGATGACTTCAAAAGCCATTATTCCTGTTACCCCATAGAGAAAGATAGAATTGCTGAAGGAGAGTGACRCTTGCTTTAACTGATAATAATTGTATGGTCCTTGCTGGCAGAAGTTGCATTTGTCTTGACCTTTCATTCAAGTTCAAAGACTAAATGCTTTTGCACAAGGGAAGGAAGGCTTGTTTGGATCTATAATTACCAGACCAAAATATGTCTTACTGTGTAGTGGGAACATACTAGAAACAGTCTCTGAAGGTTTTTATTTGTTGTCATTGAAAGTACCATAAAAGAAGCTTAGCCTTGCTACTCCCCTGTCAGTATTAATTTGTGAATAATTCTGAAAGATCCCAGATTGAATGGATAATTGCTGGTAATGGATATATAGTGAAAAGCRAGCTTTGTTTGTTTGCCTTTAAAATAATTTTTATCTGTTTAATGTGTCTGTTCTTTAGTAATTATGCCTGCTATTAAAAATCTACCTGCAGTGAATTTCCTATTGATGTTATGGATGTACCTGCTAAGAAACAGATGTTATAAAGCACTTAGTTGCCTAGGAGTCCATTAGGAATATCACAGATTCCTAAATATACGCATGCATGCACTCATAACCTTAAAGGAGTATTTTTCAAGTTTTTTTTTTTTTTGTTTAAAATGGTCGTTCTTTCAATAACAAAACCAGTTGTTTGCAGTCAGCTCCTGACTGAAAGCTCTGATAGGTATGTTTCCAACAGTAGATGAATAAAGATAGTATGTGCATCTGTCTCTTGGAGGATTCTGGCATCCATCAGATAAAATCAGTTCTGGGAGCAGAGACAGAAAGACAAGTTTCTGTGGCAGCAGCTAAAAGTCTGTTTACTCTGCATTGTCTACTGTGTTGTGCAAATACAGGTCTTGTCTTCCAGCCTGAAATGCTTATTGAACTTCAGCACATCATTTTCAACTCAGGTGCTTGTGCAAGTTCAGTCATGCTCCCTTGCAGGCATCTTCTTCATCTAGACAGGAGTTTTGGGGGGGCATTGAGTTAGCATGAAACCTCTGCTCTGTATGATTTTGTCCTTAGGAAATTCACTCAGAAGTCTTGGACGCCTTGGGCTGGATTTGAGACTGTCACCTGTRTTGCTTCAGGGAGACTTCTCGCCTAAGGGTTCCACTCTTCACTATCATTTTCCCTTGTCCCATGTAGCCTTGCTCTGTTTGCTTCCCACGCATCCCCAGAAGGCCAAGCACAGCCTGCTTCCCCCACACCTCACACATAGGCAGTGACAAGTCTTTGTGCTTGCCAGCTTGTGTTGGTCTCTTTTCGTCATAGCTTGAGAACATGTTCCTACCCCCTTTTTTCTTCCTTCTGTCTCCTGTAGCTTCAATGAACTTTTTTTCGTCCTGTTGCTATGGTTACACTGCCTTTGATGAAATAAGCTCAGCTTTCCCTTATGATTGGAGCCAGTTCTTAGCTGTACGGGTTCTGGCAGTAGTCCTGTCCAATATTAGTCTTTGCATAAGCATTATGTCCATATTTTTGAGGGTCTTTGTGTATTTGTTTCTGTTCCAKGAATACTGTTATCTGTGTAACTAATTTGAGAATTGCAGCTTCCGTGTTTCCATTTTGTATGATATTTCCAGTTTAATTCCAAGTTCGGTAGTAGAAGGAAGTTCCTCAATAATTGTGCCCTGTATCCTGAAGTGACATGCTTATTCTCAATCGTTTTCAGTCATCACTGTGGTATTTTCATTTCTTCTTTAAGCAAGAGCTTTCAGYTTTAGTGGCTGGATGTTTGCCTTTAAATGTAGAGGAAGCAGGTCTTCATGATACTGACAAGCATTCTTTCCAAAATAGATGCCATTTGAGTAAAGGGCTTGACAGTACCCTCAAAGAAACRAAATGACTGTTGTAGTATTTCTCAGCTTGTGTAAGGTAATATTGCTTATTACAGGGTAATATCTTGTTAAACAAACAAAGCAGTTTAGTGATTATTATAAATTAAGCTGATGTCAATAGGAGCAACATCCTTAAAAGCCCCAGCTATAAGACTTTCTCCATGGAATTTGTTTTCTAATGCCAGCTTTAAAATATTTTCATGGCTGTGATTTGTTGCTTCAGTGATACTTTTCTTCCTCTTGCAGAATGAGAAGACTTTGGGGCATTCTGTGAGCCGCTCCAGTAACATCTCAAAGGTATGTTGCTTGATATAATTTAGTCTTTGATAAACTTGGGGATACTGGTATTTCTTTCATTTCAAAATTGGGGTGATACATGTGATGATGTGGCCAGTAGAAAATGCTTTTTATACCTGTCTGTCATTGATAGTCACTCCTGAAACATTAGAACTAGTGCTTTGCAGACTCTCTTTACAGGTCAAATGGAATGGAAGCTGCAGTAGGGTTTTCACTTTCACACTGTCAGCCTCCTTAGCTTGATAGGAGCAAGATAGATGACAGATGCCTGAGATCTTATCTTGGAGGGAAAGTGGCTCCAAAAACATCAGCCAAGTATGTTGTTTTATAAGATAAAACTGGGTAAGATACGTATAGTTGTGCATCCCACAATGTGTATAGGATGTGTGGTTAAACGTGATTCTGTTGTTACTTCAACACTGAATTTATTTAGTATTTTTAGCACCACAAACTTGTTATGAGGACATGACTATATAAGTATTTTTAAATGTTTGATTTGACAGAGCCTGGTCATGTAAGAGAAGCATGATGCTCCACCCATTCTAGTCACACTTCAGCACAGCTGAAAAGCACAATTGCTTTGTTGTGCCATTACAAAAAAAGGTGTCTTCTGTCCAAAATAGTTACTGCAATACATACCCTACTCCTACTTCTGCATTTCTGCAAATAAGATTTTTAATTAGCTCTAAGCCTGATAACTTTTTGCTTACTCAAGCAAGACTGTGCTGGTTGACCAATGCTTTTCATGGGGTGGATAAGCTTCAACTCTTTGTTGCCACAGTTTCATTTGTARTGAAGGACTGAGTTATTATGGCTTTGACAAGCTCAAGTCCCGTTTTTCTTTTCTGAGTGCTTCTGGATCTAGGGARCTGTTCATGAGCAGAGGAAACAGTGTTCACACATAATATATGGTTTATATGGGCACAGGCAACTTTCACTTTGGAGCCAAAAGATAGGATTACTGRGTGTCCTAAACAATGAGCAGGGCAACTGCCCAGTGCACAAGTATTGACCAAGCTGAAGATGTTATTATCAAGGATTCATATGAGATTGTTTTGCTTTTGGCATCAGAAAACGTGCATTCGTATAACAGGTTTTGAAATAAAAACTGYGTCAGTATAAATTCTCATGTGAGCTTTTCTAAAATGGGACCATGCCCATTCCTTTTTACCCTGGTTCTGATCTTCTTAGGCATCCTTAATTGGATTTTCAGGTTTTGTTCAGCAGAGAGTAATTTTGCCATTAAGTGTCATTGTATTTCTCCCACAGTGTCTCAAATCAGCATAAGCCTTTTGGCAGCAGCACTTTGGTACCCATATGAATCTGTACAGTTCATTTTTAATTCATCAAGAATTGGTAGTGTGGAAGTGCAGTGGGAAGGACCTTGCWCTCTGGCAGAGCTCTCCCTGGGAGTGCTGGCAAGTGAGACATCAATATTTACATTTATCTTGAAGCACTGAAACATTCAACATGATTGCTGTGTGTTGCAAAAGCTGAAGTTTTCKGGAGGATCAAAAGTCAGCATTGCCAGTTTAATGGGGGTGACATTTTGGTTGTGAAATGAGCTCCCCAGAGGTGTTGATGTTCTTACTGATCCTGTGTCATTTCTGTGTGATCCATTCTGTGCACTTCATCCACTCTGAAGTTAAGTTCGAACAAGGGCAGACGGTGGAAGTCCCATCAGTGAAATCAGTCCCTGATATGCATCTGAATGATGCCTTGTGCATCCAGGCAGTTCAGTGCTAAGCTGCAACAATTATTTTGTGTCTACAGGTGTTTCTTCTGTTGCAAGCAATCTGTGCCAAGAGTCAGGAAAGATCGTAGYAGTGGAATGCTGCATGGAAGCTTAAGAACATGGAAAATTTTTCTTTAGTTCTGAGGTTTAATAGGAAAGTACCCTTTTTTAATTGTTTAGAATAGCATAGCAATGTTGCCAGTAAAGCAGATTGGATACATTTGAAGGAGTAAGTATGGCAATGCTTGGCTGCCGGTATCTCCCTTTCTGAAATCCACCGAACTTCTTGATCCTACACCATTTTAAGAGGGGCTTTTTAGCCAAAATTGGGTTAAGTCAGTTACATGCTGCATTTCCAGAAATGTTGGGGGTTGGGGGTGTGTGTGTGTGTGTGTGCGTGCGTGTGTGTGTGTGTACAGAAATAATGGTCATGCTTTCTGCAACTGACTGTTTCAGCCATTACTTTTCCACCCAAATCTAATTTACAGCACAGCAACACAGCAAATCTGCCACAAATGCTTGGCGCTGACACTTGATTCAAAGCCTTATGATATGTCATTATGAACCTGCTGTGATTATTACTGTGTATCTTTCCACTGCTCTCAGTTGCACAGTGCAATTTGAGTGGAAAGGATTGAGTCAGAACTCAGCCTTTAGCCAAGAGAGGATGCTGTGTTACTTATTGTGATCAAGAAAGCAATGCCCAAGGGCTAAAAGTGATCAAGGAGGGAGGCAGACAGATGGTGCTACTGAAAATGAAATCAGCTGATAGAGATAGCAGGACCTCTTGAATATAGACCGCCAGTGTCAGGGCCAGGTGGAGCTGTCCCTCAGGAGAAGGGGGCAAAAAGGCAGTTCTCCAAGAGACAGATGATAAGAGAGGCAGAAGACATGCTATTTCATGTGGCCAGCCAAGAAAAAGCAATCACCTGAATACTTGGCTAGGGATGGAGGCCAGAAACAGCAGAAAAAGGAGCAGGGAATAAGATGTAGGAGGATCCTCATATGGTGCCATTAGGCTGTGTGCAGTATGTTGCACACTGGGGGATGTGGCGTTTCTCCAGGCCCTACTTTGCTTTTTTGGTGTATATATTTCAAACACTTCTTTTAAATCTGCTCCAAGTTAAGCATTTGAATTTCTGAATTTTTTTATATTTGTTTTGAAATTTAAAAAAAAATATAATCAAAGGCAGATTTAATTTAGCCATGAGAATTGTACAGCCTGATTTCCCCAACTTGCCCTGTTCAGACACTGAAACAGCACTGATGCTGATTGAAACAAACCCAACTGGCACAGGGGAATACAGCTCAGATCCACATCTCAGTTGTTTACCCTAAGACAGCATTTTTTTCAAGCAGCCACTGATTGCTGCAAAGTGCCTTCATCATACAAGCCCCACAGAGAAATAATTAAGCTTTATASAAGCTTCGCCCTCTAAATATAGAAGAAATTGACCCTAAAACACAGCTAGTCACTGGGAGCAGCTAAAAGAGGGATTTTCACAGTAGTGGTAATTCATGCCCTCAGTTTATAGATAAAGGAATTGTGCTTACAAGCAGATGAAGTGAGGTCACTTACAAAGCTGGTCTCTAAACAGTTATTCTTAAATTARTGGGATTGTTAGAGCTTTAAAGTCTCTGATATATCCTGAAACTGATGATGTGATGTCTGGAAATACCTTCAGGTCATCTGTGTGCTCTTCTTGTCATCTGATTGCTTTGGAGGGTTGATTCTAATGTAAAGGGGAAGCACTTTGTAGTGTTATTTTCATGGCCCTCCAAGGGATAAACTTTGAAAATGCTAATACTGGGATCACAGCAAAGGAACCAAGAGTGAACTCCTTAAAAATGTAAATGCTTTGTCTTTTCTGAAGGCCTGTATAGTTTTATCTTTTGAGCAGAAGCACGCTGTAAAGTATTAGATTATTCTTAGACTGAATAGCAGCCAATGCAGACACAAAGTGGTAGCCTAAGCTTGCTATGAAATTTAAAATCCATTTAGGCTGTTCATCAGATTGGAACAGATTTAGAAAAGCAYATGAATCCACACGTCCGCTGTTGCCTGAAGCTTTAATGCATTCAGTAAGCATTTGTCTGTAAAAAAGCAGTCCAGGTTTTTCAGTTGCAGAGCTTAGCTGTCCTGTAGTTATCAGATGACCAAGGGTTACTGAAAAGTACTGTTTGTCAGAGATGTTCTGTTCAGGTACGTGAGCCTGGGGGTAGGGAAAGACAAGTTCCTTTAAAAAAACCTTCTACTGAGTTACTGGGAAAGGAAGAGACAGGAAAAATTGTATAGTGTGAAGATGAAAGTGTACTCTTTCCCCAAGTACAAGAGTAAGTAATCTCATGCTGGGGCACTGTGCATTCATGCTTGTAAGGAATGTGATAGTCGCCCTGTGCTGTGATAAATCCCTCCTCCTGGGGCTGTATTCTTACTTCATATTGGTTTGAGGGCACCCCAGAGGAGGAGCCTGCAGGTGTTTGCTTTCCTCTTTTGTTCCCTCAGTTCATTCAAGGTATTTTGAGGAAGATTTTTAAGGACAAAGGGCTATATATATTTTTTACTTCTTGTTTTCCCTGCAGAACCTGTGCAGTCRTTACTGGGTTTGGTCAACATAAATCCTGTGCTATTATGCTTGGGGAGGTTTTGAAGGRGTAGATAGCCTCCTGTCTCTAGTATCTTCAGCCCTGGAATCTCTAGAGAAAGTTTCTGACAGAATCCTCCTTTAGATTTCTTTAGAAAGAACGAGGGAAAGATGACATCAGCTTTGCTTCTAGTTGCTAGACATAGTTTTAATTATAGTCATATACATGATATAAAGTATGGAAGAAAGTTCTTCAGCAGCTGATTGCTGGTTCCTATCAAATTGTTGCTAAAATTACATGGTGGAGTTTATCACACTGCAATTTTCAAAYGCCTCTTTCTATCTCCCCCAAGTTTGTTAACCACTCTCCATTTTAATAATTTATCTTATCTCAGACTCTTGATTTTAATATGCACTGGAAGTCAATATGGAATGGATTTGGCAGGGAGAATGCACTGGAGAAGATCAGAGGTTGCTGCTGGTTGATGCTGCCATGTTGGTATAAAAGCTTTCACAAGCAGCCTGTCAGCAGAGCTGTCTGCCTGTCACATCACACGGTCTGTCCGTAGGTGGCATGTTCTGCCTGTCTCAGGTGTCAGGTTGGTAAGTTTGGTCTCATTGCATTGCTGCCTTGGTGTGCTGGCTCAGCTGGAGGCCTCCTTGGACACATGTGCMGGGAAACAACCATGTTGGTTCCACAGATGACCTTCAGAGACTGAACTGCAGTGCACTTGAGCAAGAGCCATCAGCCAACATGTACATGGCATACAGTACATGCCAGTACAGCTTGCTGAAAGTACTCAAGAGAGCATGAAATAAAAGCAAGCCCATAATCAGAATGCCAAGCTGAAATTTGGGTTCTGGGGTGTTTCACTCCTTGCTCTATTGCCAAATTTGTATTTCCCTGAAGCTCCTTGTTCTGAAGTTCTCCTGATAAAAGACTTATAATTGTGCTTCTTTTCTCTAAGTCTTTGTCTGCCCAAAGGAGAAGTGTGCTTTATTATTAAATATGCATGGTGCTTAGTATGTTAGTTCTAGATCCTTAGCTGAGACTTCTAGATGGTTTTGTAGCACAAATRGTAGGGTCACACTATTGTTCCTGGTGGCACCTAGAAATGACAAAGTTCACAGGTCTGGAGGAAGGACCTTTCTTTGCTTCATTTAGACTTCCTGTCAGTTCAAGAATTCTACTGGAGTTGTTTCTAATTTTTTACCTTCAATGAATAATTTAATAAAGTTTTTAGAATRTGACAGGCCTTGTTCTTTAAAATGAGATATAATTGTAGTGAAGTGAAGCCCAGAGTGGGATGACAACAACTACACTCAGAAGTGTMATCTCAGATAAGCAGGTTCTCTTGAAATATACTCTAGCTATTGGCATGTTTGCTATGGCTCACTTCGAAGGTGCCTTTATTTTTCTTAGGCAGGGTGGGTTTTTTTTGGTTTTTGGTGTGCAGCATGTCATCAAAAGTATGTAATCAGAAAAGGGTGAGTTCTCTCACCAATAGATAATGCTGTTCACATGGAGGCAAAATGAGAAAATATATATATATATATATATATATATATATATATATACACATATATATGTTCCTGCTGGCAACCCCTCAGAGAGCTGTATGCTTCCAGGAATTGTTAGAATTGCTGTGATTGTCTGAACACCGGTGCAGAAGGCCATGCTGTGACCTCAGTGAATTGCATTAGATGGGAATGTCAATATACACAATTAAGTAACTATTGACCTTTAGTACTGAGCTATTTTGGGCAACCAGTCGGGCTATACAGAATAACTCACTACACATGGCTCCAAGGCTYGTCACTGGAGGTGATATTCCTCCATGCGAAGGGCATGACAGTCCACAGAATTTCAGCAAGTGATTTTGGGGTTAGAAGGGTCAAATTAAGGCTGTCAAGGCTTGRGCTACATGTCACATATGAGCATGGCAGAAACCTCCTATGAGGAGTGCTCTAAAACCTGCTGCTGCTGTTGCCATATAAGTAGCCAGTTTGGCCAAAGGTGCTGCTGCTGGGGCAGTAAGGGTGGTGTGTGCCAGAAGCTATAGAGTGGAGAAGGCTTTGATTGCTTATTTTCCCARCCTCTTCAGGGCTGAGCCCTGTGCRGGAGCAGCATCAGAGCTCTAAGATAGCTGGATCTGCCTGTTTCATTCACCCATCATCACCTCTTCTTTGCCCTGTTGTGTCCCGAGGCTGCCCATATTTCTTCTTTGCTGTGGCACCTCTGCCTGAGAGCTGCTGTGTCTGAGTCAGTAGACCCAGGTGAGCTGGGAGGGCTGGCCAGCAGCAGCTCTGTGTAGCCCTGTGCTTGTAGATCTGGCAGAATTTGGTACTTGGGCTTTTGGCAGCAACTTGTATTTTACTGTGCTCCTGTCAGGAAGTTGTGCTTCATTGTTAGAGCCTCATTACTCTCGCCAGCTGATGTTCCTGTGGAAGTGACTGGCATTAAAGCAATGGTTAGTTTTACCTCACCTCASGATCCTACTCTGAGTTGCAGTGCAGATCTATAAATAGTCATGAGCAAAAGATATGGGATGAAAGGAGGACAGAGTGACTGGAGGCTGAACCATGGCTTTTGGTGGTAGCCACAGCTTACATTAGCTTGAACCAAGGGTGGAGCGTAACTTCCTCCAGTGTTTTATTGCTCCGTTTTGTGGTGCCTATCCAAGTGTGTTAATTTCTGTTCATATTTTGGTTGCATTTTCATTATGCATGAAAATGGAGAAAATTACCTGTTGTTCTGGAGTAGAAAGATGGGGGAAAAGGAAATRTGCCTCATATATGGAATCTTTCTGCAAGCCATCCTGAACAGYGCTGGTATCTAGAAACAGAATACTGAGCTTGAAATGCAAATGAAATTCCACAATTTCTTTTTTGTCCAAGCCTTTTGTTTTCCCAAGTAGCAAGACTTTAACACTCTTGGTACCAGACAATTGGATCAAGAAACCAGTAACATGGTTTTGGAAGGGAAATTTTGGATAATTGATTCTAGTAATTTGCTGTTAGATTGTCACATCACATGTTCTGGTGTCCTTATTTTAAAAAGCCCATTGCTAAACTGAAGGAGCTAAGAGATTGGATTCATTCTTAACAGGTTACCTTCTGTGATTTAYCCATAGGATAAAACCTGAGACAGATTTATTAATTGATTTGTGACTTCACTTCCAACAATATATAGCTCTGTCTCCATGGCAGAATGCAACATGCTGTTTCACTGCTTTAATAATTTGTTTTTAGAAGACTGCTCAATATGTCTTATAAACTAATTCATTATTTAAGTTTTTTTTAATTTTCATTTGCAGAGTGAAGCATTTTATCAGCAGATGAATGTCAGACTTTTCACTAAATTGTCAGACTTCCAGTTTAAGAAAAGGTGGTTACTGCACAAACCCTTTTTAAAAGATAGGATCTGAAGTCAGGTGTACCTGCTTTTAGGAGAGGTTAAGCATCAGAGGTAGGACAAATTTCCAGCAGATACCTGAATTCACATCACTTGCATGATCAGAATCCTGTATCATTAGTATGCACAAATGGTGTAAAATGTAAAGAACCATAGTTTCCAGGATAAAGCCAAAAATTGTCTTTAGTTTGTTTTGTCACAGTCATCWTATAATTCAGTTTGCTTTCTGGCCCAATGTTATTCTACTGGGTTTTACTCTATACATGTACCCAGCTGGGTAAGATGGGAATTAAGTTACAGTAGCTTACTAGGGGTTAAGGGGGATGTGTCTGAGTCTTGGCTGAATCTTGCCTTTCATTCCTGAAGACCCAGCTGTAAATGGATACGTGTTTTTTCAATCTTTGTGCACCTGAGGCATCCCAGTGTGAGGCAGATACATTACTGTGTATAGTATTGTTGACTAGAGAAATAAARCCTTAAAAGATTAATTCTGTGACAAGGAAGGTGATGGTTGTTTCTTTATTGATGAAGTGGCATGTGTATGTTAGTATYTTCTCTCTCAAAGAAATGAGTATAATGTGTGACAAGGAATCTTGCTTTTGCTATGACAATAYAAAAGCCTGTGGCAGCCTTATTTAAATATACAATAGGGGCTTTTAATAAATTAAGTATAGAATTGAAGAGTCCTGAGACAGATTTGGTGTGTGTTGCAGCATGATCAAAGAGTGATGACTGTGCAGCTCTGGTGTCTGAAGTTGGAGCACAGGGCTGGGCACAGCGTGCTTTGGGACAGCACTCCTTTGTCACCTGAGGTCTCCCTGCTCTGGCTGTGGGCAGTTCCTGACCCAGGTCTCTGCTGGTGGTGCTGCTTTCTGTGCAGCCCAGTATGGAGTTGACACTTCTGTTGTTCTGCTGATTGCATTGTTCCTTCCTGGGTTTCAAGCTTTGCTGTGCAGATCAAAAGAGCTGTTAACCATCGTTTGAATTTTGAAATGCGAGCAAGTGTTTTGCAGCAGTGAGTGAGCAATGCAGCCTGTACAGCAGCTGTGGAACATGGGAGGCCCAGGTTTTAAAATTCTCTATTATGGTTAGTAATGCAGGTCTCCTCCTTGCCAAAACCTCCAGGAAGGGTTGAGAAATTTGTTGAAGTGACGTGCAAAATACAGCAGCAGAAAAAGTCTTCAATAACATCCAGTGGAGCCACAGCTCTGATACAATGCTCATGTTTATTTTAAAAGCTTATCTATTAAGTGTTAAATATGCCAGGAACTTTGCTTTTTTTTTTTTTTTTTTTTTTTTTTTTTTTTTTTTTTTTTTTTTTTTTTTTTTTTTTTTTTTTTTTTTTTTTTTTTTTTTTTTTTAGTTAGTTCAGCTAATTCTTAATTCTTCAGTTACTGTATTTCTCACTGTGTTCTTGTAATGACTTAGGAACATGACTGCTGCCACACCTCTTCTCCCAGTAGATGGAAGATCCTGTTCAAGTAAGAGCAGGATGAAAGGCCTCACAAAGTACCAAACAAAAGTACTTCAGGGAAYGGTCTGGGTTGGCAGATGGTGCTCATGTGCATATGCTAGTAAGGAATATAAGTCCTCAGGTAGTGTTTGAGTTACTGAATTACTGWTGGTTCCGTTTTATGAAGWAAATACCAAGCCTCTAATCTCTTGSCATCATTGTAAGAGGAAGGATTAGCTATTACATGGTAGCTAAATTCCAGCTAGTCTATACACACACTTCCATGTAATTATTCYAATTAGTGTAGCATTGCACATTTCYTGAGCTATTGTTCTTTGCAATGTTTGACAGCTGGCAGGTTCCACTCCAGAGATGTCTGCGTTTGACCTTGGGGTAAAAACATTTCTGTTTTCATCACTACTTCTCCAGGGATGAGGCAATGTGACCTTTCTCGTATTTAACAGTAAAGTCACTTTCTYACAACTAGCCCTTGAGTATTTGCTATAGAGTGATATCTGACTCCATATGTTGTGTTTCACCCTGAAGGTGATTGCTGTGCATACTGACTCCTGACTTGGGGGTTTGTTTGTTTGTTTGTTTTAATTTCACTGCAGGCTGGAAGTCCAACCTCTATCTCTGCCCCTCATAGCTTCTCTCGGACTTCTGTTACACCATCCAACCAGGACATCTGCAGGTAAAGTGTGCTGTTTGTGTGGCTACGGTGAAGCTCAGGCGAGGTTCTAATTAAGGAAAAGCAAAACTGAGAAAGCATGTTTATGGGAAAGTAAGGGATGTGGGGTTCCCACATGAAGCATCCCATTTGTTTGACTCAACTGCTGTCTAACACTGCTTTGTTAAATCCTACTGACTGTTTGGCCCTGCTATGTTTGCCATTCCCACACTAGCTGTAATTCTCATTTCTTCGCTTTTAATTATATGTGTTCTCTCTTTTAATTGTTTTTTTACTTTCTGTGCTTTTATTCCACTGTTCTGCATGCAGTTCCAGTGCAGTGTTTTCTGAGTGTTGTCATCACAGTCCAGTGCAGTCTGCTGTTGTCTTGAAAAATCCACACTGCCAGAGCCCTCTGACACAAGGGGTCACTGTGACAGTAATCTGTCAGGACACGTTACATGCAGCAAAGAGAAACTCCCGTGGGCAGGATCGGGGCCAGGCACTCAGGTCTGCTAAAAATGTGAAGTCCACCCGCACTCTGAAATTCTCCAAGTCCCTCAATGACGTGGACCAGAAGGCACAGAGCACCACGGAGTGCTTTGATTATGTGGAGAGAACACGCTCAGAAGGCAAACTGAGCCCACATCAAGAGCAGTGCTTAAGGATTAACAAATTTCATCTTAAAGAGAGGAAACCGCTGAATCTCAGGCCTCTTTCTTTTAGCAATTCTAAGCACTCCTATATCCCTTCCCTTTCCAACTACTCGAGTGCATCGGGAGGAGCAGAGAACCACAGCGCTGTACACATCCCCCTGCTGGAGGACAAGGTGGACCATGACACCTCAAGGAGCAAAAAACTGTTGCGTTACCTTTTTTCCTTCTCCCACACCTCCAGCATCAGCAGCCTGCATAARTTTCATGAACTGGAGAGCTATTCCAGTCACTTCCAAGCTGACAAATCCTCCAGCATGCTGGTGGAAAGCACGGACTTCTGCTCTGATGATATGGGAGACGATGACGTCTTTGAGGACAGCAACTCAGCGAAACTCAAAACAAAAGAGCAGCGGGCACCACTCTGTTCAGTTGAGAAGGACAGTGACCTTGACTGCCCTTCCCCCCTCTCAGAAAAGTTACCCCCTCTCTCCCCTGTGTCCACATCGGGGGATACCTGCAGGTTGGTTTACCAGAGAACCACCTACCTTTGAACCTTCCCATGTGTGGTGGTGACTGTTCTGCTTTCCCCTGCCTTTGTGCGGTTTCTGTCTCTTCCTTTACCTTGTCTGTGCTTTCTTTTACCCTTGCTAACACAGTATGTGTGATTTCTGAAGCATGCAGCCACCTCTCTGCTGTTCTGCACCCCTCTGATGCACTTAACAAGGCTACTAAGCAATATAATTTCCTTTGGAGTCAAATAAATTCTCTCAAAATTTATTTCATGTTTGGTGTTCTGAGATGGTATTTTTCTCTTATCAATGCCCATACTGGGAATACTATGAGAGACTCAGCTACACATCATAAAGGTCAAGCTGAACATGTCTTAACTTCTAATGAGCAATRTGTTGTCCTGACAGCACTGCTGGTTTGATCAGAGGGTAGGAGTCAGAAGGAAAACAGACTGCTTGAAAATTGTTTCTGAGATCAGTTCAATATAGCTTAAGATATTTTTTTTTCCTTTCAGTTTGTATCCCACCACACTTCTCTGTTGTTAAGGGCTTCCTGGATGCYTTGGTCAAAGGGGATCTGAGCACTGGCTGTTAGTAGTAGGCCTGTGTGATGTCCATAGTGTGAGGTCCAAAAATTATGGGTGTCCTTATTCCGGCTACAGAGGATTAATCATGTGCACAGGTGGTGGGAACAAGAAGATCCAGACTGTCTTCATGGTGACTTGTTTGCAGGTGTACCCTGTCCCACCTCCAAAACATGGTTGAGGAGAAGCATCATCAAGTACAGGAGAAAATGTCCAGTCCCTACCTAACATTTTATTATCCTAGTCTTTCTCCTCCCTAACAGCACTTCCTAAAGCTGACTTYGTTATTACTTGCCAATATTGTTTGATTTCCCCCCTCGTTACCACCATATCTAGTTCTGTATTGGCTTATCACCAACACGATGCTGTTGTAATCCACCCACTCCTTCATTTCCACTTGCCAGCTATCAGCAAGGTCACAAGAGGCAAGATGCTACACATCAGTAAGAGATTTCAGTAATAGACAGAGATGGCAGCAGGCCAGAATGTACTTCACATATGCTTAGTAACTTGTATTTATTCCCTGAGCTCCTCACCATCCCCCTTTCAATTCATGACCTCTTCCACATGGTTAGAAGGACTTCACAGTGYTTGATGCTACCCAAGGGTTGTATATAAATTGAATCTGGAAATCAGATGTTAGCAGCTGGTAGTAACACCTTATTGGATGTCCTTGCTGTTTGCACAGTTAGGCTGTGAGGAAGACAGGGAATTTTGCAGAGCTGATGCTTCCTTAGCATCTCTTGCAAAATAAGAGCTGGAGAAACAAAACTATTTAGAGTTAGTGTGTTTTGGGGTTCAGATTCAGTGCTGTAGTTCTGCAGCGTGAATCTGTCGCTTAGCAGTTTGCATTAGAATTAATCACTTGTGTAAAATCCAGGCTGTCAAAATCAGTTGTTCATGAYCCTGGGGTGGATTGTTTCACCATTGGTTTGGGAATTTTGTCTTATCTTCTATTTCAGGTCGTAGTACATGAGTAGCTGTAMCTCTCTGTGCATATTTTGTCATGGGAAGTGCTGTCTGATCTGTTTAAATGCTATTTGCAGTTAAGTGCTATTGGTGTGGGTGAAACATTGTCATTTCTCCCTCTGTTTTTTTTTCCGGTACTGCATTTCTGTCAGGCTCTGTGTGTCTGCCTCATCTGTGAGAAAGCAGCCGTCTTGTTAGCCRTGTCTGTACTCAATTATTTTGTGCCTGTGTATGTGCTTGTGCAGCAGTGGAGTTGTTTAGTAATAGCTCCTTTGTGGAACACATTCCTTTGATTTATGTGTCTCAGGATCCTCAGTGAACATCCATGTGTGATCACAAATATTACATGGCTCTTCCACATCCTTTCTGCTTCCACTTCTCCTAATGAGCAGYTTTGCTTCTGATGCAGGATATGTCACTGTGAAGGAGATGATGAGAGCCCTTTGATTACCCCTTGTCACTGTACGGGAAGTCTTCACTTTGTGCACCAGGCCTGCCTGCAGCAATGGATCAAGAGCTCGGATACACGSTGCTGTGAGCTGTGCAAGTATGAGTTCATCATGGAGACAAAACTGAAGCCTTTGAGAAAGGTAGGCACAGGACCTGCTTCCCCCAGGGCATGCTTGATTCAACAGAGATCCGCTCTGGAAAAGGCTGTGCCCACAAGCCTGCAGYACCCACCATGTATTTGTTATCGTTTTTGTGGCTCCTCAGGAAGTCTGGTCAGTTTTGTGTAGGTACAAAAGGATTTCAAGTAACGCTCATCCTTGTGCATGCAGCAATCTAATTTGTTTCTTGACAGTTAGATTTTAGAGCACAAAACTCTACAGTTACTGTTACTTTTTCTTAATGTAGAGTTTTGTGTTACTGTCACCTGCTTTAGTTTGTGGCTCTAAGATCCACATGGCTTTTAAGTTCTCTTCAAAATACGAAGATTTCACATTAAGTTTACTTTCAAACAAACTAAGCGTAATTTAATTAAAATTTATAGTACTTTCTTTTCTTTTTAAAGGCTCAAACTTATTTAGTGAGAATAATACATTTTAAGTATAATAACAGGTTCCCTGTTAAATGTGTTTTCATTTTTACCTTTTCTTAGGCTGTGAATGACTAGGTTTTATTACTTTCAAGTTGCTAGAACTTGTGTTTTTGTTTTATAGAAAAATACCTTTCATAAATCTGGTGACTTACAGTATAGATACTAAGACCAGTTTTGTGCTTGTGTCCTCGTTTTGTTCTCCCACATCCTCTGAGTGTTCGATTTCAGTTGTTCTTACATCAGGACTTTGAGATGGAAGTCAATGGTATTCCTAGCACAGACAAATCTTGCCATATCTACCAAAGTGGAAGAGGTTAATAACAATAACCTCAGTGGAACTAGAATAAATGAGAAACATTAAATTCAGATAAGATGAGCCTAAATCATGTAGGGTGAGAAGTCTGGACTGCAGCCATCCAAAAACCATTATGAGAACTTGTCCAATTCCTTAAAGTGACTCCYAACAGAAAATAGAGCAGATTTCAAACACTTCTCATTTTTTTAGAGAGGTACAGTCTGCAAAATGTATAGCTCAGCATGCAGAGTTGGTAGGATGTCCTTTGCCTATGATTGTGGTGGATCATTGCCTTCTAAAAACTGTAAATTTTGGCTTGGTAGCCCCTTGGCACGGAGTGTAGTTACCTCTGAGCTGCAGCACTGGTTATCATAAGCCCCTGTTGTCTGTGCAGACAATATTTCACACAATCCAACCATAAATGTAAAGAAATTACTCTACAGAATCCAGAGAAGGAAGAATTGCTGTAATTGTCTGCTGACTGCTGTTTTTTTCTGTTTTCACTCGGCCTGAAGTGGGTGGGAARCATTTTCTGATATTTGTGCCCTGTGAAAAAAGATGTTGGGCACCTTCAGAAATGAGTCACTCAGCATCATCAGTTATATCTGAACAGGTCATCTGTGGGAAGGAGACAAGTTGCCAGAAGGTAGGCATAGGGCCATAAATAGGAGTTTACCTCTCAAATACATCTGAAGAGTCCTTTTAGAGGTTCAGCTGCAGCAAGGAGATGCCTCTGTATCTTCAGCTCAGCYCTTATGGTCTCTTTTCAGTCAGGAGAAAACAGTCTAGAACTGGTGAATATATCAGGATGGGACAAATAATAGGGCTTCTCCTTGTCTGTAAGGTAGAAAGGGAATTAAACTTCCTTGGCATTTTGTATTGCAGCATTGGCCTGTTCAAACAGTAAGTTACTAAGGGAAGAGGGTGAAAACAAAATGTGTCATAACTCAAATGAAGATGAGGGCAGACAAGAGAGAGATATTCCATTTTAAAATCTCAATTAAAAAAAAGACATTAAATCTAAATTTTCTGCTTTTTTTTTTTGTTTGTTTTAAAAACACCTTAAAAAGTCCAGAACTGCTAACTATTTTAAGGGGGAGGTGCCACATGCTGTGTCATCAGAATAATGCAGCAGGACTTTGGATTGGAGTTTTCTCTCTGGGCTAGTGTGCAATTTGCAGAATATTTTCTCTTTTGCGTTGCAATCATCTCTTGAAGAGGTGAGGTGGTGCAAGCTGGTTTGGTGGCTGTGGAGCCAGCAGTTCAAAGGAGGTATTGCCCAGCAGAGAAGCCCAAGCTATGAAACAGAAAAGAGAATTACAAATTAGTCAAAACACAGGTTCTCATGGCTCTGTAAAAGCATTTGTAAATAGATTTAACATGGTTTCATTCTGGCAATATAATTTAATTAATTTATACTTTCTATCAAAAGGCAGCACCTTTGCATAGATGCAAAAGCAATTTTCTATTCTAAATACAACACACAAAGGGAGTGTTTTGTCCAATCTTTCTCTAAAGAGATTGAAAAAATACAGCTTTCTAGTACAACGTGAGTCTAGCATGTCATTTGAAAAAAATACAGCTTTCTAGTACAACATGAGTCTAGCATGTCATTCCTGGAAGTATCCAGTTTATATGCTGTGATGAGGTTTGGATGCTCACTCAACTGGAAATGTGGCTTGGACTGGACAAAGAGATTGTGATCATCTCTGTGCTGCCAATAAACAAAGTCTCTGTCTCATGTTTCAACTATTCTTGTGTTTGTGGCAGTGGGAGCAATTATTTAACATAGTGGATGATTTCAATAATACCATTCAGGTCATCTTCATCCCCTCCCCTATGATGCCTCCTTTTTGAAGCCCTGTTTTTCTACAAATTATTCTAGGGGACATCAAATGCACCTTTTTATGCATGAGGTGTTTATGTGCCCTGACATATATTTTGTGAAAATGTGAGGAAAGCCTATCATAACTCTTTTCTAAGCAGATATGCTGAGGGATGTGTCCCCCACATGTAAAAACTTTCATCATATACATAGGGGAAATTATGAAAAAGAAATTTAAAACACAGCTTCTGGGTTTCTCAGGTATGTCTGGCATATTAGAAGCATCTGTTATAATKGTCTAGTTTCCTTATATGTTTCTGAAATGACATTGGCCTGAGTTTGTGGTTTTGTTTTGGGCTGTATTAGCATTATTGATAGATGCAGGTCTGGGGAATTAATTTGCTGCATCCTCTCACTTAGAAAAGCTGTCACCCCAGTTCTACTGTATATGCTTAGGGCATATCTATTTATGTGCACCTGAAACACTGAAAATAAGGTATGAGGTCACTGCTATAAATGGTGTTAAATATRTGTGAAGATTGAATGAAACCTCCAGGGGCAGGAGGTGAGAGCTGAACAGCCAGAGACTGAGAGCTCACCATGGGGTGTCTTTGCCCACCCTGGTCAGCTCAATCATGTGCCACTTCCATTGTTTTATTGAATGCCCCCTGAGCAAGGGTTCCCTTGCCCACTCGTGCTGCTCAACAGTGGGGAGCACAGGGAGGAGCAGCAGTGCTTGTGTCCCTGTGTGCTGGAGCTGCCCCTGTGTGGGTGAGCAGGGTGTGGTGACATTGTGCTGGGGCACCTGGTGGCAGCTGAGCGCTGCAGTCCCCTGTGGCACCAGCGTGGCTCCCGTCACAGCAGGGTGAGCTGCCAGCCATCACACACACGCTGTGGCCAGAGCAATGGTGCCATCTGACTTGTACAATCCTTGTTAGGAAGGAACTGGTCTCCTGCCTGGTTTTTGGTTCTTATCAATGTTCTCTTTTCATACTCTCTAGTAACTACAATAAACTCCTAATCTCTTGCTCTGGTTCCGGGTTTCTTGCCAGTGGGAGAAGCTGCAGATGACAGCGAGTGAGAGGAGGAAGATCATGTGCTCTGTAACATTCCATATCATTGCCATCACCTGCGTTGTGTGGTCTCTCTACGTCCTGATAGACAGGACTGCTGAAGAGATTAAACAGGGACAAACTACTGGTATGTTACTTGTTTATCTTCCTGCTTACTCTCTTGGGATAATTATTTATCCTGATTGCAGAGAGGATGTGGAACATAAGTGTGCTGGTAATGTTTATACTTAAACTAGTGAGCTTTACCCTGAGGTTGGGTTGGTTTAAAAGCACAGTTCTAAAATTATTTAATTAAATCAGTAAATTAGCAAGCRAATTAATCTGTGGGTGCTTTTTACATCTATTTCAGGTCAATTTAGTTTGCACTTGTGAAATGCAGGGATATGRGAGCTAATCCACTGTAGCCAGACACAAAGTTGCACTGCCTTAGCAAATTTGGATTTAAGTGGGAACACTTACTGAGCAGATCAGGATGTAAGCATTTTTTTGCTGCTATGGCTACCTTTAAACTGGGCTAAAGTGGAACAGTTTTAAAAAAGAGAAGTAGTAAGAGGAACMTAAATTCAAATCTTTGAGGTAAATCAACAGGGTTTTCTTTCTGCCCAGTTGTCTGCGGGCTGGGTTAGTCATCAGTGAGAGCCRTGTTAGGCTGGAAAAAATGTTGAGTGATTGTGCCTGAAGCAGAAGAAATTCAAGTTGAATATTACGACTCCAGTTTGCACAGCTGAGATAAGATGCAATTCATATAATGGCTGCTATGCCAGTGCACAAATAACTTCTTGAAAAGTAGGTTTTCTTTAGTATGTCAGCAGTAAACTTAGCAAACTGAAATGTTTTCAGTCAGGTATGCTGTGCTGCAGATTCACGGCTGTCAGAACTATTCCTCAGGCAGCTGAGCCTGAAGGGGGATAGAAGGGATGGGAGCTGTTAGAAGGCAAGCTGTCCTTGCTTACAGAGCACTGCATGCCAACTAGACGTGCAGGTAGAAAATGTTTTGCTGCTGATTGAACAGTGTCCTTTGGGGAGATARTTGAGCATTAATAAACCTGCAGATAGACAGAGCTGTTATAGCCTCTTCAGAACAGAATCACTTGAAATTAAAAAGTTATCCTCTCATTTCTRCTTTAGGCTATAGTTGGATTGTTCTGACTTCAGTCAGAAAGCTGCTTTCAATGAAATGTCTTAGTTTCTATTCTATCCAACCCCATCTTTTCCATGAACAGTAAAAATTATTGGCCTTTCAGTGTAAAGTCTTCATGATAATGAAAAGGATATGCTTTCAAAGATTTATTGTCACCAGGTTATTTTAACCAGTAAATATATTAGATTAASGTAACTAGGAGGAATGCTGTGAATATTTAGTACATGTTATAGTGCTTTCTCTGCTCCCTTCATTTGGATTCTAAATCCAGGGAGTGCTCTAATGAGCTGGGGCATGTGGGGAGGGTGTGTGGATATGCATTCATGATGTGATTTTATTCTCTGAAAAACCTGATAATGGGTGATTCAGCACAGTTTCATACCCATCTTGTGATGGCACTTACCTTTAAAGAGGCTGGATGAATACAGGACCTAGGTAAACAGAACATGTGTAAATTGARTAGTTTTTAATTTAGAAGTAGTTGGCAGAAATGTAACAAGATCCACTGTTTGAAAGTTCAAGCTAGACAAATTCAGGAAAAGTGATGATGGTAATTTTTAAGGACAGAGGGTAAGCTTGGAAGGCTTCAACATTTCCAGTACTTGCAGTTTTGTATCAGAAGAGATGCTCTAGTTCAGATACAAGTTACTAGTTGTGATGCAGATAAAATTTTCTGGTCTGCATAACAAACATGTCAAGCTATATGGTAACTGTCATTCCTTTATGTCTCCATGTAMTGTGTGATTACAGAGTAGAACAGACTTGTTGGGTCACTGAGTTGAGTCTCTGCAATAAAGAGGACGCCATGCCATAGARTCCCTTTCATGATTTGTTCCAGTCTTTGTTTAAAAACAGGTGTAAAAGGACCTAATCATATTACTTACTGGTGGTTTCCTTGTCTCTGTGATTGTACTGCATAATGGCTGACACAGAAAATCGTTGCTTTGTTTTTCCCTCCAGCGGGGAAAAATAAATGTGATATATGAAGTAGAAGTCTGTGTGTTTGACTTGAAGAGGGGGGGAAAAAGCCAAACAGGAAAAATGATAAATTAAGAACAATTTGTATGACTCGAACTCTGGGACAGTTTTCTTACATGTCGTTTTTGAAAGATCCATTTTAGTTAAGCTGATATTGACCAGGTCCTTTTTTTAATTCTTCTTTTTATTTTATTTCTTCCAGGTATTCTAGAATGGCCATTTTGGACTAAGCTGGTAGTTGTGGCTATTGGTTTCACTGGAGGACTTCTGTTCATGTATGTACAATGCAAGGTGTACGTACAGCTGTGGAAGAGACTTAAAGCTTATAACCGAGTAATATATGTACAAAACTGTCCAGAAACTAGCAAAAAGAATATTTTTGAAAAACCTGCACTAATGGAGCCAAACTTCGAAAGTAAAGAAATGTTTGGGATTCACCATTCAGACACAAACTCTTCACATTACACAGAGCCAGAAGACTGTGCTGCAGAAATCCTTCATGTCTGATTGCTGGGTGGGAGGGATGTTTCTGTATGTCCTCAAAGATCTGAATATCATTGTTTACTGCAAACTGCTCTACCTTTTTAAAATCAGCTAACAGCTGAGGGCTGGCGGATGAATTTTTTTACATTTGTTTTTTTTGTTGGAATTTTTAAAAATCCCTTAGGCATATCTGTCAATGTCATCACGGTTGCATACCTCTCAACATTTTRTGTCTCATACTGGCTGATCAAAGAGCCATGGGATATTGTGTAGGATGAGCCTTGGGTTTGGTATCAAGCAAGCTGCTAGCGAGCTTCATCAACTTCATGGAGTCTGTTACTTCAGAAGGTGGCTCTTAAGTGATTCTGAGGAGAATGTGTGGAGTGGGGTTGGTTGGTTGGTCTGTTCTTCGTGTGATGAAGGAGGTTGTCCCAGACAGTGAGGGCAATGAGAGAGTCTAATCTACCACTAACACTGCCACTAACATTGTGTCTTAGGCAGCAAGTGTAAAATTTTGCTTTACGTATTGCGATGAGACTTACAAAGCATATAGCACTTTTTAAAATCTTTATTTTGTAATATGTATGTCAAATGAGAATGAAACTTGAAAGAATGTGTCATTTTTAARACATTTMTTCATTCTTTACCCCATCTATTCTTCTGGAASATAAACCTCTTGCCTTATGAAAAAGAAAAAAAWTTTWAAAAATTCCAGCCTGTGATTTCTAACACATGCCCACATTATGTCATTGAACATAACACTAAAAAACTCTGCTTCTTTGGGCTTCCTTTGAGGAGCAGTTTTCTTCAAAGTATATTGCACCTGTGACTTGTGTATGAGGAGTGGTGGATGTGTACAATGTTCAGTTCTGACTTTTTTTCCCAGCAGGTCAGGCCATCAACATACTTGCACATATATACCTGATATAACTTCCATTCCAAACCATTGGCAAAGGGTTTGTTGCTATATTGATAAAAATGTGAGCTGTTATGGAAAAAAGGAAACTTAGTCAATACAGCTGAAACTGGTTTTCCTTCTTTAGTGCTGTGTCATGTATGAATTACCCAAGAATTACCCAAGTTGCTGAGATCCAAGTGTAGGAAGTAAATATCAAATAATTTGGATAAATTTAAAAATACCTGCCTGRTTTTAGTCCTGATGTGAATGTACTACCTGGTCAGAGAATAGGTTTTGTCTGTATTTTTGAATTTGGGACTGGCTTTTTAATCAGTCAACTTTCACGCAAAGAGAGGGACAGTTTAAAACCAGTTTGCTGGGCTTTAGACAGAGCTGTCCAAAGCCTGGAGTGTCTGCAGTTGATTTGTTTGTCCAGTCTGCTTCATTGCACCATTGTCCAGCCTCAAGCCCTCATTTMACCAAAGTCTCAGTGTGACTGGAGCAAAAATGAAGTCCCATGAAACATCAGCACATGAGGCCTCTGCATTTGAAAGCCGACTTTCCCTACCTGAGCCCGGTCTAAATCTCTGTAAAGTCGATGATAATATGGCTGCTTTTAGTAGGAGTAGCCTGGACTTCTCAGCTATAAGTTTCTGTTTACTTGTTGAGATACTCAACTAAATTTTGAGTGCTAGTTCAAGTTTCATTCAGTATTTTTCAAGTACAACTTTGGGTACATTCTTTTCATAGTAAAAGTAGTTGCTTTAGGACTTCTTAAAGTATAACAGTAAGAGATCAGGGATTTTTTCCTTAAAATGTAATACTAATTTATTTCTAGATCAATACTTTAATAAAAGGCAGAGAAGGGACTGTGGTAAGAGAACACACACCCCAGTGGTTTCTAGGAGCTGTTAGARGAAAAGCACGTGTGCCTCTGTCACTTCATGCTTGAAGCTTATTGTCTGTGATCTTCATGAACAACATGGTACCTTGTTCTTGAGATGTGTTAAACCATCCCAACCTCTGGGCAGTSCTGGTAAAGCTGCACTGGCATGGGTCTGTGTACTGTACTAGCTGTCAGGATGTCCCATGCTGAGGTGATACAGGCAGACAAACCCTGCACACCCTGCTGCTATTGGGGCAGAGTCTTCATGACCACACGCATGCAGAGTTTGTTGCCTGTGCCTGCCATAACTTAAAGTGCAATTACTCGAGACCTTTCCTGAACTCTGCTGTGGGCGATCCACTTCTATTATGAGAACCCACATAATRCACTGTCTTCTTTTGTTTTCTGTTTTGTTCTGTGGAAGATTCACTAGATAAACTCAGGTGGGTTAAGTGTCAGGTCTTGCACACACCTTCATGATGTTCTTCTGACAAGCCCAAGTGCACAAGGCCTGTTCACCTGTGAGATGCTCGTGTTACAGCTGTAAGAAGCAAAGACTCATCTGCTGAGTGATGCTGTGCTCATTCTCATCCCAGCTGTGGCCAGTGGGTGAAATGAAGATGGACAAGTTCTGGCATGAAACCTGGCTGTTCTCCAGTTCACACCTGAGAGGCTCTGGTGTGTGAGCAATGTCGTGACATCGCTGATACAGCATACTGGAACTTGCTGGTTCTTCTGCTTCAGTCACTGTTGTATTTGATTCTGGGTGAAACATTGTGAAATCTCATTCGGTGTTTTGGAAGCTGCCTGTGGAACATGCCAGGTAGTGTTCAGTGTGTTCAGGGTACCGAAGGTTTTTGCTGTGCCCCTGAGTATCTTAATTGTAAAGAAAAATCTTYTCCAGCAAAATCACTTGGGGAAAAATATTTGTGAATGAAAATGTCTTAGCCAGTGTTGCTGCTAACAATTTCCTCTCCCASCAGGTCTTCTCTGAATGAAAATTAAGGCCTATTATTTAAACTCTTTATACTGCTTAGAAATACTCATACCAGGAAAGGCTGCAGAAGAGATCCATCTGTCAGGGGGTTTCATTTATGCTGATCACACTTCTCATGCTTGGTGTTAATGGTGGGCTTCTGAAGATGCAGTGCTGTGCTTCTGCATGGTGTCATCAAATGTTTGAGAAGGCTGAATGGTGCTTTTTCCTTCTTCTCAAGAAGATACTGTTGACTTTTTTCAGCTTCCAGCTGTGAGGCACTGATGCCAGCTCAGGTGAGCTCTTCCTTTCTGTTCAGATGTCAGTAAGGGGAACAACCATCCCCTGTCAGATCAGGCTTTCCAACTCTTCCTTCTGGCAGCTTTTGAAATGACTGAAATAGAAGCCTGGTCCTTGTACCTTGGCCAGATWTATCTTGGGTTACCCTGGGACTTTCCTGAGATCAGAATTTAAATAGGAGGGTATATAGGTTTAATGCCATCTACCACAATCCCATCCCTAGATTTCCAKAAGGTTTGCTGATATGCCCAGTGCCCCAGATAACTGACCAGATTCCCATTCTATTGACATCATTCCTGTCCAAAAAGACACCATCTGGGCCAAGGAAATTCATCTGCTGTGTCACATTTGATGTATCTGCCAGGTCATGAACATGCATTATGTTAGAAATACAGGTGAGTGCTGCAGAAGGTTTATCCCATTTAAGAGCTGATATCAAATCTTATCAATTCTCAGGACTTTTTTTCAACTGTAAGCCTGTATTTGGGAGTGGGAGTGGTGTTTAAAATGTGTTCTGAAGAGATGGCCAGACCTCGGGACAGCTTCTCCTGGTTGAATGTTATTGAGATTGGCTTTGCTTCAGCAGGAGGCATTCAGTGTGGATTGAATRAGCCTGCAAGGGGTTAGAGAAGCACTGGGCCTCTGGGCTGTACCTGGGAATTCCTTGGAAGCAGCAGTAACTCTGTCCAAGCCAGCCCCCAGTGCTGATGAGAGCATCAGTCCCATTTGGTGCTGTAAGGAAGGGGACTCCTTGGGCTGCCCCTYGACAGAAACCTTGGCAGTGATGTGTGCAGCTGGCCATGCACAGGAGCTGCTTGCTTCTGCCCTGAGTGTGGCAGAGTACGTATCTATTGCAAATGTGACCCAGGTCCAGGTTTCTCCTAAAGCTGAAGTGTGTTAAGATAGAGATTTCTGGTGTGGTCTGCTCTGGACTGGCCAGAAGTGAAAGGGAGGTCAGTGACTCTGGGTTGGGTYCCTCTCAAATATGGGTAAAACAGGGCAAATACAAAAGCAAGGATATTGCTGGCTGGATTTCCTCGGTGTTGAATTAGATACGCAAAGAAAATTTTTAAGGGGACCTTTTATTTTGTGATTATTTTTTAGTTTTGAGATATTGCGGTGTCTGTATATTCCAATGAAGTACTGAAAGCACTTGTCTTTGTATAGAAGATACCTGTTAAAAATTGCAGCTAATCTTGTATTTAGGTTAAACATTTGTAGATAGATAATTGTATAATGTTGAAGAACTTTACACTGGCATGTGTTGTATAGTTTATACAAGACACTTCATACTTCTGCAGAATTTTTTAGTTATTAAATTTCTAGTAACTTAATGTATAGTTTTGTATCCTTTCATGTATGTTTGTTTTCTCAGTATTACCACTTGCAGAGTTATTTTTAGTTTCTTAAACTGTAATTGGTTCTTTGTGTGTGATACACAGGGTTATTGACTGCAGCAATAAAGTGTTTCTATAAAAAAAAACAGAAAAAAACAAAACCACTATAGTATCCATTTTGTTTGAAAAAGCATAGAGAGAAGAATTGATCTCTCCAGTAGTAAGATGATGTTGAAAACATAGAACTTGATGGCTCTTCAGTGCAGCAGACCAATGCAGAGTATCATCCCATGACAATTTGCTGTTAAAATGATCTGTAATGATAAAGGCATAGTAACTGTCAGAATAACTGGGCAACTCCTTCAGTGCAAGTTCTTTGGCCTCAAATGCAGGAATCATTGGGAGAATTTTCTGGCTTCTGCCATGCAGGGGATGGGGAAAGAAGACTCCCATGGGCCTTAAAATATGACCTGGAATCAGCACTGGGTGGTGCATCAAATGGTTCATGTCTGAAGTCAGCATTCTCMTTTCCATCTGTGTAGAGGTGCAGAGCAGAAGATGCTCATTACTATGATTTTCTTCTAGGAAGAATGTTAGTTTTGTATACACAAGAATATTGTGCAGTTTCTCTAGAATGCATTTCTAGCACCAGTAGGTCAAGTAAACTGCAGTTCTGTGGGAGAGGTTGTTACCAAGGCATGCACACCAAAGAGCAAAGGCCTGGAGGGTTGTGTCTGTAACAGACACAAGGGGGCTCAAAGAAAAGCCTTTATTTCTGTTTCTTTTTAAGTAGCAATTAGTTTTTCATTTTCTTTTAGGTAAGGAAGGGAAGGAAATCTTAAATCTGTAACATCAGAAAGTGCCTCCCATGCAAGATTAAAGTCTCTGTCCTACATTCCCTTAGTAAAGAAAGTCTGGCTGTAGTAAATGGAGCTACTTATATAAAGTTTGGAAACCAGACCTCTATACAAAAATACCCTCCTGGAGAGATGGCAGGATAATTTCCAGGGCCTGCTGTTTGACTGGCAGTCTCTGAGATGAAAAGCTGATAAATGGTTTAAGGAACAGAGCCCGCAAAGCCATCTGGCTGCTGGTTAAAAAGTGTTCCTTGTCTTGGGCTCAGGCATCTCGAGTTAATTATAAATTAACTCACTTCCTCTTGTAAACCTTATTTTCATCTGAAAGAGTATTACTGTCACTGTGTGAAGTGTGTCCATCTCTGAGGCAGGGAACAGCATTGGCTCAGCAGCATATGGCACAGCTGTGACTGCAGGAACAGGATTTTTGATCTGGTCCCAAGGAGCTGGAGCTGTCTGGTGAGTATTACTGGTATCTGGCTGGCAGGACCAGCATGGCTTACCTCTTGGAGCAGGGCAGGAGGAGGCACTTGGGAAGCTGAAAGGCAGCGTTTGGCACGGTCCATGAGTGCCCTGTGGAGGCTGCAGAGATGTTAAAAGGTCAGTTCCAGCTGCTGACTTGGAAAACCAAATCTTCTCTGAAGAGCCAGGCTCTTGCCTGCACTGCTGCTCAGTGCCCTGCACTGTGCCTGTCTCATGCCACCCTCCCACAGCCACCCTGTGTGCCAGTCTCCCGTCACCCACTCCTCCATTTCACATCTCCCTTTGCCCAGTGTGTTACCCATATCATGCTGTGCTTGTCCTTTTCCTTTTGGTCTACTCGTGAAACCCAAATTTCCTTCCTCTTCCTCACTTGCCTCTGGGCCAGACTGGGCAGTGAGGGTTGTGCTAGAATGTGCCAAATTGTGGTCAGTGTTTGATTGATAAGGAATGACCATGGAAGTACCCAAAAGTGACACTGCAAATAAGGTCAGTGTTCCCTTGTGAACCCAGTTTTTCCTGTAAATCCTCTAGGCTCCAGTCTTCRATGCGTAGGATGCTCTCTGACATTTTGACATTGTAGAGGATGATTTTTCACTGTCTTGGAATGGATGTATGACATAAGGAAATCAGGCAAGGATATCTCATTATATAACAGGAACTGAACAGAAGAAAACTCAGTTCATCTTGTCTAGAGAGAGAGGAGGAAGGTTTTTTTTAAAAAAAAAAGAAATCAGAAATCAAAAGAGCCCTGGCCAAAGGAAATGGGGAGCAAATTCAGTGCATTACACAGGGTAGAATAATTAGAAATGTAATAATGCTTAGGCGAAGTTGAGTGATGGCGAACTTTAAGAATACTCTTAAAAGTGTGTTCTAGGAAAAAGTCAAGAATAGTGTCAGAGGAACTGAAATCTGAAAATAGAGAGTAGACTTCATTTCAGAGTATTAGGGAGATAAACGAAGTTGTCTCAAAGGCTTYAACATCAGAGGAGGGTTTGAAATAACTGAATAGAACACCAGAAGGCTGCAGAGAGCAGAGCAGGGAAGATCACCACTCAGGGTGTGCTCATTAAATCCTGAAGYTCCAAGGAATCAGGCTTGCAATTCCTGACATTTTAAGACTTCACTAAAGTAAACTTCCCAGTCAGTCATCTTTGCTGTGAGCAGCTTGCTGTGCTGGGTTGTTCTGATATGGTCTCGAAGGCCACCWGCAGACAAGGCAGGCCAAGCAGGCTGAGGAGAATTCATCACTGTTAGAGCTGTAGGGTCTGGTGCTGGGACAGCAGGTTCCTTGGTCAAGGGAAACAGTTATCCTTGTGGTTGGGAGAGAATAACAAATGTCTTGGGCTGATTAATTGATCCCAGCTGTGAGAGCACAGCAGTCTTGRAGAATGTGTCGTACTTCACATCTGCTTTATTCCTGAGCATCCCATAATAACTTCCAAGTACTGTTGTCCCCTTCCTGTGGATAAGCTGAGGTCTCTCTAAGCCTGGTTTGCYGCTTACTTTGCTCTCATGTTTCCCTTCTTGCTTTTGAAATTGCTGTGTAAAAAAAAAAAAAAAAACACCTAATTCTAATAATGGGATTAGCTAAACCAGTATTTCCTCATGCCAGCAAGATGATGGTTTATTTTATCCCAAAACTGCGTTTAGGACCATGTTACATTCATGGTCATGTGTAAGCAGTTGATGTACCAGAGAAATCAGATGTAAATTAAATCAAACCATTGCATTGAGCAGCTTTCTTGCAGCCCTGGACCAAATCAAGCTGTGGTAGAAGTGATAGGTATTTCAGGGATGAATTTGGACCTGCCTGATGTTGCACACTATAGGGACACTCCCAGTCACATCTTTGTACAGAAGCGATTCAAATCCTGTGAAAACATTAAGAATTAATCACTGAGGGGAATTGAAATGGGTTCAAATGCTGCATCAGAGCTGAAGTGCAAAGAAACATGGAAACCCACTGATCAAGATTTTAATGCCATTTTGCTCCATATTTGCACTGAAAACAAATGTTTTTCAGTGAAGGTGGCCTTAGGTATGATAAACCTGTTTCTGAAACACTTGGCATGTTAAAAGATATATGTTCAGATATATCTTTCAATGAAGGCTGTGAACCTAAATTTAGAAACTTTAGGACAGACCATGTGCAAAAATGAAACGGAAGTGTGAGTTCTTTGAAATCTTATGTAAAGGGAAGAGGAAAGCAAGGAAGATTTTATGAGGTTTATGCTGAAGTTCTATGTGGTAACACTGTCCATGAAGGGATCACAGTGCAGCAAGGATCTCTTGCTTCTTCAATCTCAGGAAAAATCAGATCTCCGGGCTACCTCAGGTGTGCCATGTGACAGTTGGCAATTTTGCTTCTGGGTGTTATTTAAAAAGTAGCAGCAGATTAGGAATTAAGCAGGCTAGAATCTTTTCTGTCTGTATATAAAAACATGTCCTGAATGTAAGTCACAGTCAGAAAATGCTTGAGTTTCTACTTGACTAGAAGAGATACAGGAGACCTTTCCTGACACTCCTAGGTGAGTATAGCTCAGTATCTTCATGCCTCTGTGAAATAAAAGGGCCACAGTGCGTCTCGGGAAGCTGAAGCAGAGAATCCATAAACATATCTTGTGGTGTTGCTCTGCAGTCCAAGAGGCACAGGCACTTTGCAACTGGACTTGCCACAACAGAAATGGGGACAGCCAGCAATAACCTCCAGCTTTGGTTGTCTTAAATTGCTCACCTTGTCTGTATTTGAAGGTTGCTGTCTCACCTGTGGGCAGAGTGTCTCATACTGGAGGTGTTGGCAAAGCTTGATTTGATTAGTTACCATCATACACTAATTAATCCAGCACAGCACCTCAGCTCTCACTGTACCACAAGCAAAGCACACCTGAGTTGTTTTTAATTTAGCTTGTTATGTATATCGATCACTAGAGATTCACAAGGGCCAGAGACCATCTAGGCAATGGCCTGCTTTCCAGCAAGGAAAGGAGGAGCTGGGTTTGATCACAGAGCAGTGGTGGAAGGACACTGAGATCTGCAAAAGCCCCGCCTGGCTCCTCTCAGCACAGAACAGTGCATGCAGTTGCTGCTGGCAGCAGCGTGAAGGAAGATTATCAGTGAGATAACAAGGGTGGCACAATGTGGTATTTGTTTGCTCGATGAAAATACCAAACAGTATTAGTGCTTTTGGTGTCAGAATGCCCAGTATGCAGTGTCACTGTTGTGGGTTTTTTCCTCTGGGGTAAGTTGGAGTCTGGAGGAAGCACAGACAGCTCTTCTGTCCCTAATGTCAGCATCTTAATGATGGCAGGTGCTTGGTGTACTCAGGGTGGGGAGTGTGAAATTGTGGGATGTTTAGAGGCCTTTGCAAAGGGGGAGTTGGTTGTGTATGTACAGTTCTGATGTGCAGATATGCTGGTATTTGGTGTTACACGCAGTAATGCAAAGACAGCAGGGCATTTGAAAAGATTAGAGGAATRCAGGAATAAAGCATGGCCACATGCAGGGGTCAGCCCTGAGGAAAGTGTGAGTTGTACAGGTTTGCACATTTGTTTTATATAGTGATGGTGCAGTATGGTGTGAGTCACCATTCCTGGTAGTTTTCAAAAAATGTGAATATGGCACTTAAGGACATGCTTTAATGGTGAATTTGAATGGACTTGATCATTGTAAAGGTGKTTTTTTTTTTTCCAACCGGAACAATTCTATGATGCTGTGATAACTCTATCTTTAACTGAGTAACTTTAGCTGATGAAGAGAGTGCGATATGTGCTTTATGCTTTGTGGAGGTAGATCAATGTAGAGTGTTGGATCACTGTAGTGGAGGTGAGGTTAKAGAGCACAGCTGTTTGAGATAAACTGTAAATGTAGAGATGGTGAGGCACACGGGACTGTGCCACGGTGAGCTGTGCCTGGCAGGATYAGGAATGCTGTGCGGAGCAGGTGCAGCGAGCTCTGGGTGCTGTGTTGAGTTGTRGAGCTGTGGAAGGTTCTCAAGAGGAAAGCAGAGTGTGGAGGGCTGTGTGAAGCAGGCACGGCAGGAGGGAAGGTGCACTGAGAGGGCTGAGTGCAGGGTGAGGGGAAACTGTGCCAGGACAGGGGCACGGGGCAGGGCTGGAATTGAGGGTGAGGGGCAGCTGTGCCAGGACAGGGGCACGGGGCAGGACTGGAATTCAGGGTGCAGGGAAGCTGTGCCAGGACAGGGGCACGGGGCAGGGCTGGAATTGAGGGTGCGGGGCAGCTGTGCCGGGACAGGGGCACGGGGCAGGGCTGGAATTCAGGGTGCGGGGCAGCTGTGCCGGGACAGGGGCATAGAGCAGGGCTGGAATTGAGGGTGCAGGGAAGCTGTGCCAGGACAGGGGCACGGGGCAGGGCTGGAATTCAGGGTGCGGGGCAGCTGTGCCGGGACAGGACAGCTGTGCCGGGGCGGAGGCACAGCTCAGCGCTGCAGCCGGGCGGCAGAGGCGGGATGGGGTAGGTGTGCCGGGCTGGGGAAGGGGCGGGCAGCGCCGGGCCGGGCCGTGCCGGGCTGGGGAAGGGGCGGGCAGCACTAAGCCATCCCGTGCGGTGACAGAGGCGGCGGCAGCGCTGGGCAGGCTCCGGGCGAAGGCAGGAGCGAAGTTCAGCAGCGCCGGAGGGGCCGTGCAGAGCCGAGCCGAGCCGAGCCGCGCCGGGGGGACCATGCCGTCCTACACYGTCACGGTGGCCACGGGCACCCAGTGGTTCGCGGGCACCGACGACTACGTGTACCTGACCCTGCTGGGCACGGCTCGCTGCAGCGAGAGGCACCTCCTGGACAAGCCCTTCTACAACGACTTCGAGCGCGGCGCGGTGAGTCCCGGGCAGCGCCCGCASCACCCGCKCCTTTCCCCGCCGCCGCGCCCCGGCCGAACCGCGATGCTCGGGATGGTGCAGCATCAGCGGCACTCGCCCGCTCCCTGTCCGGCACTCCGAGGGGCTGGGCTGGRCTGGGCWGGGCTTTTTTTAAACTCGTATCCGTGTGCTGGTGCTCCGGAGCGGGACACTGGGACTGAGGTACCCACTGCCCTTCCCGGCCGCCCGTCGGCTGCATCCCTGTCTTAGGGCTTACTCCTGACTGTGGTCTGATGGTTCTGGCTTACAGTGGCTTTTCAGATCTCCCCATACTTTCTTTATAAATAGTAAAAGAAAAATGTGTTTCGTGTTGATATTTAGGGTCAGTATTTACTAATAGTCAGAGCCTTATTATTTCCAAGGAATTAAAGAAATAAGAGCACCCAGAGGGAATTACAATGCCTGACAAAAGGAATGTGCAGGGCAACTTCAACAACAGCTGAAAACCAGTGTGAACGCATTAAGTGTGAGAATGAAGTTGTGGCTATCAGCTGTGCTTTTCTTCCTACCCTGGATTTCTGCTGTGCTCTGTCCTCTCTGTGGTCCTATCACGGTATTTGGACCATCCAAATATAGTCACTTATACGCTGAACACTGGTTTAGAACAACATTTATTTATTTGCTTATTGCCCACTCTTGAAATAATAGACCTTTTTTACCCCTCGTTTCCAAAATGTGTATTTTACTTGGGAGCCAAATTCATAATTTCTAGAAGGTCTAGTGAGACATAAGCAACTTTGAAAGTTTTCAAGAAGTGTTCATGAGTTTGGAAGTCAGACCTATCACCTAGGCTGCAAAAGGGGGTTTCAGGTGGCTCTGGTGGACAGCCTAGAACTCTCTGAGCATCTAACTAGATCCTGTCACAGGGAGCAAATGCCACGATGGGAGCATTCAGTATCTGCCCAGCAGCAACTGGTGAGCTGCTGTGGGACCGGGTCCAGCAGGAGCASAGGTGCATCCACCAGGTGAGGGAGAAACAAACAGGGTTTTGTGGACTTTACTAGCAACAAATACAGTCAGTTTTTCAGCATGTATTTATTGTGGGCAACGAGAATAACTCTGTGTTCCATAAAGTGTCTGCCTCATTGGACACTTGCAGTACAATGTACTAATTTTTGGGTTTGTGGATGTTTTCTTGGGGAATGAAGCAGGTTTCTGCAGGCACCTGTCTAGGATACACTGTGCCCAAAACACTGTGAGTCTTAATAATATGTTGTGCAAGGAAAAAAAGGAAAGGGAAGAAAAAAGAAAAATACCAATACACAGAACCAAAAAACTAAAACTGAAGCAGGCCAGAAGGCTTTGAGTTTGGTTGGTCTGCAAAATGTAGCAATTGTTGTCACAGTTCTGACTTTAGTGTTTCTTTCAATATTATATCTATACTTTTTTCTGCAAAGCAATTCAATTGTTATTGTGTTTTCAAAACAAATGTCACTTTCTAGTGAATGACCAGAATTTTGCAGTACTATTTTGTAAGGGTTTGTCTAATTTCCAGGTTATTTTTCCTAGATGTTGTGCCTGGATCTGTAGTTCCACTATCCTCAGAATGTCTTCATTTGCATTATGGCAAATTGTGTMTATTACTAGATGTGATAGAGGAGGACATGGGCCAGGTCTGAGTAGGAGATTTGCATGGCAAATGTTGACTGGGGAAAAAGTATGTGGAAAAGCCTGAAGGGATTTGCACAATGGTAGCTCAGTTCTAGTTTTTCTGACTCACTTCAARCACTGGACACAGGCAATGTTGACAGTCATAGTTTCTTTTCTTTGTGTAGTGTCTTTCGAGTAAATTCTTCTGGTGTTGTGTGATTTCAAAGTTTTATGGTGTCCCCCAGTTCTCTCTTTCCTTCCTGTTCCCCTTTCATCTGCTTTTTGCTTTTGTTGAAATAAATGCACTCACATGTATTTCCAGAAAGGAAATATAGTTCTTTCCATTTAGAGCTTTGTGCTTATAGGAGTCCCATACATTTTGGAATGTAAGAGTAGTCAGCAGGAATCTCTCCTCAAACAGGAAAAACACAAGTTTTGTATGAGATTAAATTGTTTGAACAGGATGGTACAGAAGTTTAGACAGTCCAACAGTCTTTATTAATTCTGTTCTCTCACTCTCAACTCAAACTGTATAAAAGCTCCCAACATCTCTGGCTCATTGTGCAGCCCCCCTGGTGTTTACCAAGGGACCTCCTGCAATAAAATTGATAGAAACCTTGAGCAGCCAAGTGTCAGTTCTTACCTGGACCTTGTACATTTTCTATAATCTGACACACTTTGAATGCATTAGCAAAATTGTTATCTGAGGTGAGCCATTGCTGGCTTGGAGGCAACAGAAGCTGTGTGAGGTACCAGGAGAGAGCCCTTCCCTTCAGAACTGCCATCAGAATTGGAACAGTGATGGTCAGAAAAGGATTAAAAGCCTCCAGGAATATTATAGTTCATTGCATGTCCTTTTTGAATTGCATCAAGAGTAACTACTTTAGGGCTCTTGTAATATTGGCAAGTAGATTATTACCAGAAGAATGAGTTTCTTCTAAAGGCTGGCTGTCAGCGTGACATTTCCATCACCTCTTTGAGTCTGATTCCTAGTGCTCTTTAACTTAAATCTCACAKGTACATATATCTAGGTGTGACATTGTACTGAAATTTCTTTGTACCTCTGAGACTTGCAAACRTAAAATATATAATTGTCCAAATCTTAGCTATACAAACATAAAATGTACCATTGTCCTTATTTTAAAAAGGGAGAACTGAAGAAGACCAGGAAGCAAAAGACAAAGGGCATTTAGGTGATCTGGATACTGTCCTTAGTCTGAAGCACACATAACTAACACACCAAGGTCTTTAAATTCCTAGTCCAATGTTTTAATCTTATAATCATCTTTCCAGTACAGTTGCATGAGTAGATGTGCTCCAACAGCACCTCCTTCAGCTATTGCTAGGAGAGCAGTGAAYGGTTTCATGGCCTCCATGTTTTTCTCAGACTTGCAAACATTTCAAGGAGTGATACCATTTTTAGGTTGCATACAAAAATGTTTCTCCATTTCTGGTGTATTTTGCGTCTTTCTGTTGCRCTGCAGTTCAATAATAGAACTTCCTTTTTTCACCCACAAGAAGCTGGAAAGCCATATCAGGTAAGACCAGGTATGCCTTGTAGTGCTGGTGGTGCTTCCTGCACGTGCAGTGGATCACTGGCTGATTCTGCTCTGCAGGTTGACTCCTATGATGTGACTGTGGAAGAAGACCTTGGAGAAATTCAGCTGATAAAAATTGAGAAACGGAAATACTGGTACCAGGATGACTGGTACCTCAAGTACATCACTGTTAAAACACCGGTGGGTGACTATTTGGAGTTCCCATGTTACCGCTGGATTACGGATGAAAAGGAGATTGTSCTTCGAGATGGAAGAGGTGAGAGCCATAAGAAACCAGATTTCCTGCAGAACACCTGGAATTCTTCCATCTTTCCTTCCCATTTCTCCATGTACCTCCCAATTTTCTCTCATCTGAAGGCTCACTGCCAGTTCCCTGCKGCATCCTAGAGAGCGGATCCTTTCCCTGCTGAACTGGGAATACTKTCTGAGCAGCTTGTTGGGCTAGGCWCTGGCACTTGGGTTGGATATTTTGGGAAGCACATACAAGGAAGAGTCCTAATGCTGGCTTGTTACACTGGTCTTGAATTTGAAGGCTGGTCCTAATGCCAAAATTTTACTATTCCACATCCCCGTTGCTGGAAGCCCTTTTGCTCTAATTAGGATTAACGTTCCCTGCTTATTTCATGCTAAGCTCCTAAGTRGCCCATGATTAAATGCCTGTAAATTGTCTTGTTTTCATGAGAGTGAAGTAAAATCCCAAAGCAGGCTGCTCAGCAGGTGCAAACTGAAACTGCAGCTTACTTTTCATTCATTCCCTTTGCATGCTGTCAAGTCAGGACAAGGCAGGATGATGGATAGTAGTGTTGCAAGTAATGGCGACCAACTAAAAAAAACATTTTAAGTGTCTCTGACAGCTACTTGCTGTGACATTTGTCACTGGTTTTTGCTTGTTCCCCTCTCTGCTACCTGGGACAGGTTGGCTACTGTGTTGCTCTGCAGCATGAGTGCCTGGAAACAGCTGAAATGAGTGTGAGGTGGTAGGAAAGGAATGTTTATATTCCCCTTAAATTTTTGGCTACTCCAGGCCGGGGCATTTTGTGTTTGAAGTCTTTTGCCCTATAATGACAACGTGTCACTTTATTTTTGGTCTTTCCCATTTTCATAATTTGATTTATAACAGCTRTAACATTTCCATGGAAGGCAGCTTTGTGTGGCTTTCAGAACATGGTGAGGTGAAGATAAGAACAAGTGAAACTCTGGTGATAATTTGGGCACAACCACCTGGAAACCATTAGTCATACATGTTATCAGCTCCATTCCCCCTGATATTTCCAACCCCAGCCCCAAACAGTTTTTCTCATGAAACTCCTGCTGATTTTATCTACCTTCACATTTGCGTATGTAAAGTGAGTCTCATACGCTGTCCTCTCTGATCACTGAGGAAGTCTTTGTGTTACTTAACATTATATTGAATTCATGGTCAGAAGTGCAAAAAGTCTGGAACTGAAACCTCATTATTTTTTCTTTCTGTTCTCATGACTGGAAGATGTGATTATCGCCCCAAGCTAACAGAGCATTGCTCAAGGAGAGAGGCTCAGAGATGTTTTCTGGACATGTGTCTTAGCAGAGAAGATGAGTTGGAATAATGTAGTGRTTTCTCTTATTGATAGAAATTCCCCTAGGTACAGAATTGTAAAATTAATTACAGTGGCTCTCTTCAGACCATGTAACACCAGATACATACAGCGAGTGTCTACATTAGAAATCCAGATTTTATATACAGTTGAGACAGATGTTCCTAGCTTGACCTATTTGCCCCTTGGAAACACCAAGTTAGGAGCTTATYTTCTTCCAAAGATTTTCTAAGGACCTACCCAAAAGTACCAAATTCAATCACGTAAGCATTTTCCACAGAAACTGCAAAGGTGTAGATCAGAAGTTTGAAGGTTTGAAAGCTTTGCTGTCCTTCTCAACACCCGGGCAGTGACAGGCAGAGGAACCTCACAACCCTGTCTCTCTTCCCTGTGAACAGCAAAGCTCCCCCGAGATGACAAGACTCAGATTCTCAAGCAGCACAGACGCAAAGAGCTCGAGTCCCGTCAGAAAATGTACCGGTGAGTTTGCCACTGCTGTGGGTCTGTTCTCATCAGGTCAGAGTTTGGCAGAGCATACTCACATTAGCACATGGCTCAAATTACCCAGCTCTTGGATAAGAGAAAGCACAAGTTACCATGTTGGCCATATGTGATATTTACTTAGATGGAATTCACTGATGTAAAGATCATCCTGGTGCAAGTGGCGTTATGAGATACATGAACCTCAGATAAGCCTACCKGGAAAAGTGAAGTGAGAATTGGGTGATACAGCCTCTGTGTGGGCCTTTGAAGGCRTATTTAATTTCAAATTTCATTTGCCTGTTACAGGCAGTATTACAGTTTCAGTTTTGGAACATGATCTGATCATGTCAGCTTTTGCTGGAGCTTTTTGGCTGCTGCACCAGGATAGCTTTAGTTGTTTCCTGCACCAGGGTGCAGTGAAAAATCTGGCCCTGTTTGAGGGGACTGGAATGTGCCAGCACAGTTGTGATATATATAAATCTCATATATCTGTATTATACTTACATATTTCACATACATATATACACACACACATACATATTATACATATATATGTTATACTGCCATAGGCATTTTTCCTAGTCAGTGTCACAACTACCAAAAGCTCTCTTTTCTAAGAGGATACCTCCAGAAGGCATTAGGCACTGCCTTTTGCTAGAGATGTGCTTTTTCAAAATAATGAAAGTTTCTTGCACTTGTGTTTCCATATTGTGAGAGTAAGGGTCAGGTCAGGGGGTCCATTCAGAATTGATGGATGGAGACTTAGTGTATGTGYTGTTTATTTCATGTGAACAAGAAATGCTGTCCTTTACAAATTACAGGAAATAGAGCAGAGGAAAATATGGATTAAAAAGAGGTGTGACACAAARTTTTATTTACATATGCAAGAAGGAAGACAAAACCATTTGTAATTTCAGGGAAATAGCTGCTTAAAATTCARATACATATCTGATAATACACAATGCAGTCTGTGTGTGGCAGGCAATTTGGAAATACCATTGAAACAATATTCTTCACAGTTCACTTTCTTTTGAAATAAAAATGCAGCAGAGAATATGTGCCATGACCGTTAGGGTGTTGAACAGTTGAATCAAGACTCCTGGAGAGTGCCTTTTGAAGGAATCTAAATATATGCCCAAGTCATTTTGGCTGCTGTATCTCAGTTCTGCAAAACTGTTGTCCCAGGAATGAGCATGCATTGGGCAGCTGTCTCTCTCTCTCTGTCCCCTCCCCCATGACACATTTGAAGCTATGCCAGTTTCAACCAAACGTGACAAGTGTTTAGAAATATCACAGATAGTAAATCATGTGAATCTTTGTGAAGGTAGGGGGCCAAGTGGATGCCTTTCGCTGTACCTCAGGGTTCTGTAGGGKACTGGTAGGCACTGATGTGGTGTAAGTCACTTATTTTGGCCCAAGTGCATCTGCCACCAATTTTCTTTATAGCAGCGAGTCCCCGAAGCAGTGCAGGTAAAGGAAAGACACAGCTGAWAAGGTGATATGGTTAATCAAACATCTCTATTTTCTCAGCTGGAAGGAGTGGCATCCAGGCTTCCCCCTGAGCATTGATGCCCATTCTCACAGTGCACTGCCTCGTGACATCCAGTTTGACAACGAGAAGGGAATTGACTTCATCCTGAACTACACAAAAGCGTAAGTGTTTGTGGGACTTCAGGAGTTTTGCAGAATATCTTTTGGAGCAGGGTAAGGATCTGATCACCTTTTAGGTTTTGTTGAATCTCAAAATTGGATTATTTCCTCCAAGCTGGATCAGCAGCCAGTCAAAGAAGGAAAGTAGGAATTGTGTGGATTTTTACTCTATTTTACTTTTTAGTTATCACTATTTAAGGTTTTCACACTGGTAACTGACTGAGCCTCTGCATTYTTGTTAGCCATGGTTTTGGCTGCAGACAGATGGAGGAGACACTGGTGAAAAKCATCAGCACAAGGACTGCAGGCACCTGAGACCTTGAGATTTTGACTTGGTTCTCAGCATTGCCCCCTGGAGATACTTTCCTCCTCTAACTGTTGGCAATAATTAAACCTTTTGGTCACATACACAAAGAAGATGGTTATCAATGCACCCTTGACATCCTGCTGGAGAAAAGCTGTTCTGAGCAGCTCATCAGTCATCCACATCTGAGTGTAATCTGCTTGGGGCAGCCAAGTCACTGTTCACCCACCTGCACGTGCCATGTCATTGAGAAAAACATTGGATGAGCCTGAATAACCAATCCTGGAGAGCTCTGGAATGGCACAGGGTCAGTGAGGCAGATGGGTCCCCTCTGACCTGTGAGGCTCCTCCTGTGCTGTCGCAAATGCCCAGGTCGTATCACACTGGCTTAGATGGGCCACCATACTGTCAGGTGCTGGAATGGTCTGACATGAGACAAGACTGCTCCTTACATGTCAGAGCATTCTGGGTATTTTATTTATTCATTTATGCAGCTGGATTTCACTACCAACACAGAGGTAGATCAGCACGGTGTTAGCCAGTGCAAAACAGCTGTTCCCCAGCTCATACAGAGGAGCTGAGCAATGCAGGAGCAGCAGCATCTGAATGCCAGAGATGAGAGATTTGCTGTTAGGAGCCATAAGCAGTTTGGAGGCTGCATTCCCCTTCTGGCAGTCCCATCCTGCCAGGATGTGAGGGGTTGTCAGAGGTCCTGAGTCACAGCCAAGTGAAACTTGGAAGCGATTCAGCAGAGTGCAGGGACATCTATCTTTGTCATGGACTGTCAGGGGCCCTCCCTGTGAAATAGGAACCTGAAACTGTATTACAGAGCCAGCATTCTAGATAACTGCTATGACACAAAAGAGGTTTTTCCAAGGAATAGCAATGCTTCTTGTCTGGCACATTTGGCTGAAAAATCTAGACCTATGCTTTTGGCTGAGTAAACAGTGAAAATCTTTGGTGATGAGTTTGATAGCCCTTAGCTACCCTGATATACTTTGGGAGTTTGGGACAACTGTTTGCAGGAATGGAGTGGAGAAACATGGGGAAAGGCATGGGGTCTGCATTCAGTTTGAGTGCAGCAGGGAGGAAGACAGGGAGGTGTGTCTGGAAATCTAAAAGCAGATGTAGAGTTGCAAAGTGYAGCAGTGGTCAAGGAGCTCATTTACGGAAATATGTGAGAACTGTGWGAGTTATATGTGACACAGGAAGTAGTGGAACAGGCGAGGGGAACGCCCTTTTTCTTGGGACATGCAAAAATGAACTTAGAAAGAGGGAGATATGTCTCAGATATTATTTATGCTGTTGCAAGGTTGGATCTTTAGATGCCATKGACAGTGGATAACTCTAAATTTACAGGATTAGTTGTGTGTAGGTGGAGATAACCGCAAGATGTCTGGTGCTGATGTGACCTGTGCTATCTAGCAAATGGAAACTCTCAACCTGGGTTCTGTGCCAGAAATGTAGCTTGTGGAGCTATTTTGAACCAGTGTTGCACTTGGCCAGATAAGCTCTACAAGCAACTCTGACTTCTTTCCTTGCCTTGGTTTCTAGTATGTGCMAGAGACTTCCAAGAAGTGCTTGATTCCTTGGGGAAAATAGATTTTTACTTCCTAAGAGCTTTGGAAGTTTTTTCCMAATACAGGAAATAATAAGAACTTCCTCTTTTTGGAAGTAATCTTTGAAACATCTGAGAACGGGTGTGTGCCTGGGTTTGTGACAGATCCCAGGTGCTGTGCCTGCTGCTTGGTTTGATGAGTAGCCTCAGGCAGGGAGAGCATCTCGGGCAGGAGAGGAGCAGGACATATCAGCCTGCATGTCAAATGATTTCTAATCTTAGAGCAGTTCTGAAGGARGGCAGAAGCACTACAGGATTTTGGTGGAAACTCTCAATGAATCAGTCTTAAGTAACTTTTCTCAAGCTATGGAATTATGTTTTTTAAAATAATTTAACCTCCCAGTGATGGTCATGCTGCCTCCTGAAGGGCATCTGTGATTCAGGTACCTGGTCCCTATCCACAAAGTTCTGCCCAGCAGTTGCCCTTGCTTTGATCCTTTACAATGATTCTGTGTCTCTGTCAGGTGTGAAGTGACCTCTGGAGAGGTCATTTCCTGTTGTAGCCTGGACAGTTGTGTGAGTTTTGGTTCCCAAGATTCCTCCAGACACCCGTGCAGCAGCTGCAGCCCATTCTGTGTGACCCCACCTGGGCTCAGAGCAGAAGCAGCTCCTCTGCCTTATGGCCATGCTGCTCTGGACCCTCCTTCCAGATCACCACTGCCTGTTTCTCCAGGCTTTTGGGCCTCTCCAGCCCGTTCTAATCCAGTCTTTTTTATAAGTTTGCTGATTATAAATCCATCCTTCTAGGAKTCTCCTCAAATTCTTTTTGCAAGGATTTCCTGTAACACTGTGACTTTTTGTTAGTTTGTCATCTGTGCTGCACATCTTTTTGTKCTGTGTGTGATTATATTTGTGCACTTGAAGTGTTAGTGAGAAGCCAGCTTTCTTTTCCAAATTCATTATTTGCTTTCTAGTCAAGRTAAATGATTTCTATCTAATACAACAGTTTTGCATTTTTGTAATAATTTAGAACTCGTCATCTCATATGAAGGGAAGTTGTTTGTGCTGTAGGGAAAACACTTTGCTGAATTAGCAGATGAAGTCAGGCATTTCTGGCTCCCAGCCTGCTGTGTTCATGTGATGTCTGCCACCAAGAGACTTGGTTTCTGAGGTTAGATGTGAGCATCAAGTTTATCTGGCAGCTCAAGTAAATAGAAAGCTCTCAGAAACTCAGGCCTCACACTTTATTGTGACCAGTCTGGCCTTGGTCATGTAGATGCTTACAGTAGCTGTTCTTTTTTTTTAGGAATAGAGGTTGACTGATCCTGGGCTGGTTTTGTTCTGACTTCATGCACCTCTCTCAGTCTCTTTGTGTCATCATGCCCTGTCTGGATTGGTTTTAGCAGTGCTCTCAGCACTCTCAACTGATGCTAGTCACTGACAGTGTGTGAAGCACTGGTTTTTCTGACAGTTTTTATAGGTCCTAAAGCACTGCTGCCATGGGCTGCTGAGAACAGCCCAGAACTGCAAATGCAATAGCAGGAGCTGGGCCCTTGATGTGCCTTTCAACCTTGTGTGCAAAGGTACAACCTGCAAATTTAATTCTGTAGGGTGACTAATCCCACATTCCATTACCAAAAATTTGTTGTGTTTAGTCATATAAAAGTGTGGAAAATAAAAGGAATGGTACTGAGAAAGCTGGAGATTATTTTTTCACCTATGTTCTGTTTTGGTTTATTTTTAGGATGGAGAATCTTTATGTCAACCGTTTCATGCACATGTTCCAGTCCTCCTGGAGTGATTTTGCAGATTTTGAGAAGATCTTTGTCAGAATCAGCAATACAATCTCTGGTGAGTTTATCAGCATTTACTCATGTTTGCATCATGGAATGAATAATCAGTTGTCCTGGACATGTCTGATTAGGATGGAAGTGGCTGACCTTCTCTTCTTCTCTCCTTTGGCTGTCCCACTTCAACCATCTAAATACACAGAAAATCTCCAAAAGGGAAGTCTGGTAATGTTCTCTGTCAAAGGCAAGTGTGAGGGTGAGCCCCTTGCCTGTGACCCAGACCAGATGGAAGGCTGTCCCCTGATATCCCAGCTGTGCTCTCAGTTGCATTGCTGCTGAAAGTCCTGGCTTCTCAGCCCTGTAGGGACACGGGGAGGGTTCCCGTGCCTTGGTTCAGTTGTCATAAGATCTGTTTTTGTCACAGACCTGTGGCTTCTCTCAKCTGCTCCTTGAGGGCCATTTGTGTCAGGGACATGGGTCTGCTCCAGTGTTTTCAGGAGTAAATTTTCTCCTACAGGGGTTATTTTGACAGAACTCACTTCAGCTATGAAAGCCTATGCTGTTAGTCCAACAGATCTGGGGATGGGTTACAAAGAGCTGGGAATGACCTGGAAACTGTAACTTCACCTGGTCCTCACACTGCAATCCAAGGAACTGTGCTTCTTGCTGGAAATTRGTGTGAGCGAGACATGGAAAAGCTTGTGGCAATTGTCCAAAATGTCACTTGTCAAAAATGTGTCAGAATTATTTACACATATTGCATTAAATATCTTCCTGTGCTTGCCATTTCATACTCACATCCTCTTACTAGAAGACAAAAATCCCAGTCTAAGAGCATGAATTTCACTTTTGCTTTCAGGGATGTTCAGTTTCTACAGTATCTTTCATACTGTTAAAAAATTCATTCCTGTAGTATTGACATATAAAAGACAAAATGCTGCTTTTSTTTAACGCTTTTCAACAAAAATCTTGGAAGTTACTTAAAAACCCAGCAAAAAGAATTGCAGACAGTCAAGGGTTTTGAAATTCATGGTGCAATTTCTACGGAGCTGGGCTGGGGAGCTTTCAATTTGTGAGCTAACACCCATAGTTAACTTTATTTTACTGTATTATTGTGTATAATAGGTGCACAGCTAGTTTAAATTGTTTGGTATGTGACTCCTCAAACGTGTGAGAATAGGCTGTTTAGACTCTGCAAAGGAAAATGGTTTTCCTTCCTTCTTTAAGTTTAACTCTTCTTCAGGCTGCCTAAGGATCAGTTCACGAAAAAGGAGCAATTATGYATTCTTGGGTATAAACCCAAGCACACAACGTGGCAGAGGTATTAAAAAGTAATTACAGCAATTTGTTACATTTTATAAGATTACTTCCTAAAGTACTTTTACATAAGTATTAGATATGATCTACAATTAATTTAATTGATAGCATTTCCATACTCATGAGAAGTGCTTTAATTCTGTGGTATTTAAACATTTAGCATTGGTCTCAGGTCAGTGCAAATAACAATTTGCTTTTTTGGCAGAAACAGAGATAATGGATAAGGYGGTTCACAGCATTTTTCAGTCATGTGGTTTCTGTCCGAGGTGCTGAGGTATTTTTTTCTGATGCAGACTTCAGATACAATTGCAGRCTCATTAAGCAATTGACAGAGATAATGTAAATATCATTTCATATGAACTTCTTTCCACTTTATGAGAAAGCTTTTTATTGTGGGTTTTCAGACTTTTAAAAAATGATCACTGCATTCCTTTGAGGCCTGTATTTTTAATCCTTCCATCCTTTTTAGCAAAATCAATTGTTTTCTGAAAAAGTTCTGCCTTGTTTAAAAAACAGATAGTAATGGAAAACTTTACTACCTTCATTTTTCCCATGAAGACATTTCACATTAATTGAAGTGACTCCATGACATTACAAAACAGGACATTGGAACTATGGAAAATATCCAGTAGTACTACATGTGTAATGGTGAAGAGATCGAGTATCCAAAAATTGAGTTTCATTGAGATGTTAATCTGAGTTTGTATTAGCAATTGAAAAAAGAGGAAAAACAAGTCAAGCAAAACAATGAATAAGGACTTTTACTGAGTCAAAGTCCTTCTCCAAATGTCYCTCACCCAGCTCTGGCTAAGAGAAGTGCTCCAGCCACTGCTGTTCTTTGCCTACACACCTTGCTGTGTATTTCCCTTCTCCTGCATGTGCCATCTGTTTTTGAGCTTATCCCTCTGTATTGCATGTCCTCTGCGCTTGAATTTGAAGAGTGGGGTTTAAAAATACCATGGCAGACCTGAAAAAGTGGTTTGCAGATGAAGGGAGTGTTCTTCATAGAAGTGGAATATTTTATTCCTCTTTGCTTCTGTACTTGGAGAAACAAAGTATCATCCATTTAATTCTTCCCAATTTGAGAAGCAAGGATTAAATTTGCCATTTAACTTCAGTGATTTTTCTAACAATTCTGTCACCTTTTGAGTCCTTTCCTTGCTGCTTCCTGTATTCAAAAYTGCAGTGGAGTATGACAAAAAGGTGAGGGGCAAAGGGGGAATCCTGCAATGCAATGGGATATTGATGCTGCAGGCTTGTTTTTCCTTTAGAATATGTGATGCAACACTGGAAGGAAGATTTYATGTTTGGCTACCAGTTCCTGAATGGATGCAATCCTGTGCTGATCAGAAGATGCACAGAGATACCCAAGAAGCTGCCTGTGACCATGGATATGGTGGAATGCAGTCTGGAGAGGAACCTGACCCTGGATGAGGAAGTGAAGGTACAGCTCTGGGTCAGGTTGGGCTGCACATGCTCCCTCTCATGTCCTTCAATCTCCATGAGACAGGAGATTGYGGTTTGTGGAATAGTGCTTGCTGCCTCAATGGCATCATCCCTGAGCCACCATGAGCAAGGGTGGGCCAGGGGTTGTTTGTAAACACTGAGCTTAAGTCAGTCTCTGGCTGAGACTTCCAATTCCTTTAATCCAAGCGTTGCTGCTTGCACATCATTAAAACACATCATCCTTCTCTCTCTTCTGTTTTTCCTTCCACAGCAAGGAAATATTTTCATTGTGGACTATGAGCTGCTTGATGGTGTGGATGCCAATAAAACAGACCCGTGCACAGTGCAGTACTTGGCTGCACCCATCTGTCTGCTGTATAAGAATCTGCAGAAAAAAATTGTACCCATTGCAATCCAGGTAGGCTTTCTGCCAGAGGGTCGCACTGTTGGTTGTCTCATTTTAAACATGAAGGACTTGGGGTTTCATGTTCTTTTTACATCTTTCAGCTTGGTCAAAAGCCTGGACCAGACAATCCCATCTTCCTTCCTTCAGATGCCACATATGACTGGCTGCTGGCTAAAATCTGGGTCCGCTCATCYGATTTCCACATCCACCAGACAGTGACCCACCTCTTACGGACACACTTGGTGTCAGAGGTGTTCAGCATTGCTATGTTCCGGCAGCTGCCTGCCGTGCATCCCCTCTTCAAGGTTAGTTCTTGCACCAAGGGAGGAGGTGTGTGGGCTGGGGTGGTTGTCACRTCGGCTGGACAAACCAAAAGGAAGTTCTGGTGATAGTTCAGCTGAAATAGTTCAGCTGGCTGCTCTACAAGATAAGATTCAGCTAAGCCGCCATGACTTCCAAGACTTCAAACTTCACATGTGACTGCTATTGAATTCAGTGTGAGAATTTGCCTCTTTTCATTGCTTGTCCCATTTCACAGCTCTTGGTGCCACATATGCGGTTCACAATAGCCATCAACACCAAAGCCCGAGAACAGCTGATCTGTGAATGTGGCCTCTTTGACAAGGTAGGTAAATCRATTTGTGAAACTTCRCTGTTCTTGTCAGTTCATGGTTATTCATGGYTCTTTGTTGTTCTTTGTGGTTCCACATGTACATACCCTTTAATMAGCACATATTGCCTTGTTTCCTGAYCATTCTAKTAAAGGACAAATGTAAGTAATATCACCCCAGAAAACTGGCACACAGAACTGGCACCTYGTTGTTTTCTCCTTGAAAAACAGATTCACCAGCATTCTGTATCCCACCTCCTGCAAATCTCCTGTAAAACCAGTCTTGGCACAAAGGGAACATAACCTCCAACTGTTGCCATCTTGCTGTTCTTCCTGCAGGCAAATGCTACGGGTGGAGGAGGACATGTACAAATGGTGCAGAAAGCAATGAAGGATCTGACTTATGGTTCCCTCTGCTTCCCTGAGGAGATCAAAGCTAAAGGGATGGACAGCAAAGAGGATATCCCCTACTACTACTACCGGGATGATGGCATTAAAGTCTGGGAGGCTATAAAGAGGTAAAAGACCATAGTTCTAGATATTGGCTAAAAAAGTTACAGACACACAGACCTCATTTTTTTCCTGCTCACTTTGCTCTTCATCACATCTTGCAATCAATGTCTGGGCTGTTTAGTCATACAGTGTCTTTTCCATCCAATATACTTCATCTGAGGAAAATATTTAGTCAAGCACACGCTCTTGAAAGACTGTTAATTCCTGCTTTTTTTCAGTGTTGTTTTCTTGTATTCTGTATTTCAGAGGACTCTTTACAAGTATGTACTCTTCTACAGGATTTCAGAGAAATTTAGTGAGTCGGAATTTGGCCTGCAAAAAGAATTCAGTTATCATTTTTTAGCTATGCACAAGCCAAGAAAGGACTCATTTCTCTGAGCCAGCCACATGAGCTCATCAAGGTTCTTGTGGAATGAAAATGTAAGCTTGCCTTCCATGAGAGTTCTCTTTCGAAAGTCAATAAATTAGGCTTTGTTCTAATCAGTTAATACCTTTCTTAAAATGCCTTATAATTGTGAAGTCTGAGTTTATTCAGGAAGGGCAGCAGTTATGGGTAAGGAGAGGCACTGCAAGGCTGCTCGACCACACAGGCATGACTCCTTTTCAGATCTGAAGCACTGCCTCAGAATGATTTATTCTGCAGTGGCATTTAATTTAACAAATAACACATTTTTGCATAGCGCAAGTTGCTTACCAAATGTGCAGCTGTTTCTGATCCCATGACTTTTGAAAAGCATGTTCATTAAAAATCAGATCTTTTGTGTACACAAAGTAGGAGTTTTATGGTGCAAGCATAATGTTGAAAGTTCTGGATACATCTTTGTCTCCTGTGTTTTCCCTGTGTTTTGACAAGGGCTTACCTTGCAATATTTCCTGCCATTGATAGCGCTCATTTGACAGAAAAGGAAGTTGTAACTTTGCTGAGGCTGTTTTCTTCATGTAGCCTGTTTTGCGAGTCCTCCTTCCCTTTCCCAGGTTTTCTTTGTGGATTGAGATAAGCCTTTCCCATGCCAGGTAGCACTCAGTCAGCTCAGTCTAGTTTGACTCTTTGTGGGTGTTAATCTCACTGCAGGGTGATGCTGCACTGACTCCAGCTGGGCTGAGAGCTGTGAATCATTTGGTTTACAAAAGGTGTGGGCAGTACCTGTATGAGATCCTGACCCACAGACCCCTGGTCCTGCGTGCGTCTGCTCCCCAGGAATCTCCTGCACTCTGCAGGGATATCAGTCTTCRCTCTTTTGATGAAATAATTTCTATCCCCAGCAGAACTTCACGTGTGGGAGATGGCCTAGACATAAGGAAGCTGATAAGGTTGTTCCTATAGAAACAGTGAGTGTCACATGGCAAATTTGTAAACTCCCCTAGTACACAGCTTCCTATTTCTGATCTAACTGTAGATAGATACCTCAGCCCAAAGATACTTCAGCCCAAAGGGTCTCACCCACACTGCATCTACCAAYTCATATTTGTATGGAAGAGCATCTAAAATACTGCCATTTTGTAAGAAAATGATGCCCTTCCCATATCACCTGGCACCTGTGCCAAATGCTTGGAGACAGAGCTTGTGCAGAGCAGCTTTCCCTCTGCGTGTTGCAGAATTTTTGTTTTCTTTTAACTTCCTCTGGAAGCTAACTTGAACTTTTGGTSTTTATGCAGTGGTTTGTCTGCCTCAATGAGAACTCCTGACTGGCTAATAAGAACCAAATAAATAGATCTGTAAAAATCTCCAAATAGCAATAAATTTATAAAATTTATAAATTTATATTTTGTTAAGGGATAAATCTCTATGGAATAACAATTCTTAATCCCATCAGTCAGCTTTTACTATCAAGTGTTTCACCCTATGGGTTGTTGTCAAAATGTTTAGCAAGCGATTATAGGTACCTGCAGAGTTAACAGAATATCCCAGCACAGCTCCATGAACCAGCCATTTAGTCATGGAAATCTTCAGAAAACCACAATTACCTCTTCTCACTGCTTTCAAAACTACTTCTTGTATCTTAGTGTTTTAAGAGCCATTCTTTCAGAGGTGAGCTAGCCTGGGAAGCTTTCATAGAAAGAGGGCTCTTGAGAAGAGGAACTGAACAGGAAGATGCTGTAAACAGTGGCATAAGAAATAGCTCTAGACCCAGAAGTTTCCTGGGCCACTTTAATGTTTCACGAGAAGTATGTCCATTGGGAGAGGTCAGCTATTGGAATGGCATTCCAGAGCACCTTTGGAGTGTCCCACAYACGTGGATCGGAACTGGAATCACAGTTTGGGTACCCTGCTGCCCAAACAGAGTGGGAGCCACGTGGATATGCAAGAGGGAGGCTGYATGGAGTGAGGAAAGGATGCAGATGTGATGACAGAGGTGTGTGGAGGAGCCAACCCTCAAATAAGAGAATAGAGTGCACAGGATTGTTCAGGTGTTGCAGTGTGGTCCCRGATCTTTTTGTTGAGGGGAGATGCTGCAGTCCCAAATGATTCAAAGTTGTCTCTGTTCATTCCCACTGCTTGTAGGAAGGAGATAGGAGCATGTTGAGACCTTCTCTTGCCCTCCTCTCTTTTCCCATGCAGCATCTGCAATGCCAGAAGATCATCTGGAATGGCAGACTTGCTTTCCCCTTTTCATTTTGTTTTGTTTGTTCCTGCCTGCAGTTTTGCGGAGGATGTGATTCACATCTACTACGAGAGCGACGAGGTGGTGTGTGAGGATGTGGAGCTYCAGGCCTTTGTCAAAGACATTTATGTCTATGGGATGAGGGGTGTGAAAGCCTCAGGTAAGGTGTGACGGCCCAGCCAGCTCTGCAGATTGTCCAGTCCCTGCTGACCACAGTGCTGAGCGCACAGCACAGGTTTCTATCCCTTTGTGCCCTCTCTGCTCCTGGCCTGAAGATGCTCAGGTTTATGTGTGTGACCCTGGACCAGGCCATCCCTCAGGAGAAAACTCCTTCCTTTGACACAGWCTCTCATAATCAACTTGGGCAGCTCGAGTCACCTCTCTGCACTGGGGACAAGTCCTTTGATTTTGTCTGCTCATGATTTTAGCATTCGGGGGTGTCCGTGTGTGTTGGAGTCACCAGGCAGATGGACAGAAATCAAGGAGCAGTGAGACCCCCTTGAATCCTCTCCTCCAAACCTTGCACTAAATAAGAATATGTAAGAACCACCCCAGAAGAATATTGCTGCATTTCACATTTGTTCAGCATCTGTGTCATCACTGAGCTGTTCTGCTCTCTTCAGGAAAAGATACTCTAATTAATTTCCAAGAAATATTTTCCTTTCCTCTGTCTCTTCTCATTGCCTATCTTCTTGCAAACTGTCACTTTCCAATGGGAGCTCTCACTGGTAGCATGGTTCAATTTGCCCACCTGAGTTAATGCTCCCCCTCTTTCTCTAAACATGTTGCTTTTCTCTTCTACTCACTTTTTTTTTTTTTTCTTTTTTTTCCCAAGCAGATTTTCAGGAACTTATAGAAGTGTCTGGGGATTGTTCCTGCTGTCTGGGCTGATTTACATCTGGCAACCCCTGCTGTCCAGTGACCCAGGGCAGAAGGCTCTGGTGTTGTATGCACACATTTCAGTGCCAGATGTCCAGGCAAAACTGGGATGTTTCCAGTCATTCCTGGTGTTTGCTGTGKATAACAGACTTCAGGGCTCTATCTGCCTGGACAAGCAAAGGCTCACTTTTGTTTGTCTACTTATCCCTTAGCAAAACTTAGAAGTTTTCCTCCTGGTAGGAACTTCATGCTTGAACTTCTCAATACCTCAAGTGCTGAGCCTTTCCCAGATCCCAGCTGGGCTGGGGTGCTGCAAGCACCACTGGTGGGAGAACTGCCACTACAGACAGGAAACACATCAGGCTTGCAGCGTCTCTGTCTGCACTGCTGCCCCTCCAAAGGGCTGTGTCATGGAGCAGGGAGACTTGGCTGGGTCTGTAAAGAATGGGGGGAGGCTAAATGAGGGAGGCAATGGCACCTCGGACTGCCCCTCCAGTCTCTGTTTCTTCCCTGCATGGCTGCTGTGGCTGGGAGAATGCCAAACTCTTTTACAGATGAGCACAGTGTCCTTAGAATAGCAGGACACAGGAGGGGATGGTGCATCCTCTCCTGTCTGGGCTTGGTGGATGGCCAGAGGCACCATGTGCCTCTTTCCTCTCTCAGGCTGAGCTCACATCTGCATCAGATGGTGGTGGAGGTAGGAAGGGTGGCACAGGCAGCCCAGGCAGGAGCAGCTCTTGCTGCAGCGTGCTGACAGCTCTGTAGGGTGCTGGGAGCTGTGGTCACGCTGGGCTGGGACAGGGAGTGCAGCACAGGGCTGTGATATAGTGAGGAGAGGAGAGACACAGGCCTGGAGTTGCTTTGGTTGCAAAATATTTCCCTAGTCCGTGACTATTCAATTTTTTCTTTATATAATCGGTTTGATTATTCTCCTTCAAAGACAGCTTAATGCAACTATTTCTGTTCCTCATTCTGTTGTTTCTCTTTCAGAAGTTCTCATTTCCTCACTTCCCATTTCAGCAAATAAGCTCTCCCTGCACTCTTTCTCGCAATGCCCTTGATTGCTGAACCTCAAACCTTTATAAACAMAAGCACGTGGTCGCTTCCTCCTTGGCATGAACCTTCCCTGCTTGCTCTGCAGACTGAAGGCAAATGGAGCATCTGAGGCCCTGCCCTGTGGAATGTGGGAGTTCCTTGCTGCAGGRTAGGTAGGGCAGGGACACTGTTTTTTAAAGCATAATTTTACTTTGTGTTTCCCTTATGGAGCACCACTTTGCAAACAGTGGTGATGCCTCACAAACTTGTGTGAGGCAAAGCTGTTTTTACAGCTGCACAGCCAAGGCACAGAGAGGCTGAGGAGCTCCTGTTAGACCACACAGCAGGATTCAGAGAATGCCCTGCTCTTCAGTGGCTGCTGCACAGCCCTCTAACCCATGTCTTTTGATTACTGGTGGGCAGCAGGGTTACTTCATTGCTGGGTTAAACTTTTCTTCTCCCTCATTTAGGGTTCCCTAAGATGATCAGGACCCGAGAGACACTAGCAGAATATCTCACAGTGATAATATTCACCACATCGGCTCAACATGCAGCTGTGAATTTTGGTCAGGTAGGAATTCGTGGKAAGACTGTTCCTTTTTTTGGGCAGGGAGGTACATCCACCAGGGCAAGGTCTGAGGAGTATTTTTTAGTAGATGTACAGAAWTACATTCCTATTTCTGGTCAAAATAACTGGCATCTTGGAGCTTCCTCTGGGATGTTTGATGTGTCAGATACTGATAACCTGTGCTATCTCTGCCTGCCTTGACTGACATATATCTGCCCTGGAACTATAGTAACAACCTGCCTTTCAAATGCTGTTTCTTTCAACATCAAGGCATTTTGGAAAGCAGACTTATCAGGCAGAAGCRAATCACTTTGTCAGTGACAGAGCTTTTTCAGTCACTGGAACAGGMTCCCCTGGGAAGTGGTCACAGTTCCAAGCCTGTCAGAGTTCAAGGAGCATTTGGATGATGCTCTWAGTCTGATGATTTAGTTTTAGGTAGTTCTGCARGGAGCAGGGGGCTGGACTAGATGAYCCTTATAGGYCCCTTCCAACTTGAGATATTCTATGGTTTATGAGCCTTTTTTTTTATTTTGCATRATTCTAGCTTCAGGCATAGATGGTCTCTRAGMTATGATCTCAGAGATAAGCAGAGAGACCATCTTTCTCATGATGGTTACTCCCAAATTCCCTACATCACTTTCCATGCTGACCCTCCTGTCCACCCCTGCAGCTCAGGAGCCTGGAGAAGGTCTGGAACCAGGTGTCTGTGAACCCACACCATTGCTGTGACATGTCCATGACCAGGGACCTCTGCAACCATTCCCTTCTGACCTGTCTTTGCAGCTGATTGAGACACTCCCAGTGCCCCCCTAAGAAAATCCTGTCTGTTCAAGTATCACTAAGAAACCAACTCTTAATTTGGCTTTCAGAGGATATGCAGCCCACCAGTAAAAGGGTCTTCAGCCATGGGACAAAAGGGCAGAGTGGGCTGAGGGAAGGAGGGGGTGGCTGGACACTGGAGAGAACACACTGAGCACAGGGTGAGCGTGGCAGGCAGCTGGAACAGCAGGAGCATGGCACTTCTCCTCAGGCAGAGCAGGGGTGCATGTGAAGGTGATGAAAAAGTGCTTGGGAAAGAAAGAGTTTCACTAAATGCAGCATCTCAGATGGCGGCAAAACTCACATCATATCTGAGTCAAAACGAGACATCCGCATCTCACTGCGCTGAAGCGGCCAGAAGGGATTACGAGGTTCCAGTCTGCTGCTCACCATGGCCATATCTGCATGCCATATTCCATATTTCCCCATGAACCAGCATGYTTTATCTCTCTTAGGATCTGACCACACAGCCATGCACTGTGGGCAATGTTCTTGGAGGAAWTTTTGCAGAAAAGAGAATCTGGAGTAAAGGGGATGGCCTCAGATTATCAGAAGAGACTTTTTGTTTAATAAAATATTTAAGGCCTTAGCCAGTCTGGTGAATTTGGGCTGTGTGGCACATACCTGTGGTTAGCAGAATGAATGTTCCCATTTAGATTACCCATCTCTCTCTCTCTTGTGAGTTCCTGAGCAAAGCAATAGGGACTTCCTTGCCACCTCCAGTCCTTCTCTAGAGCATCCCCTTGTCCTTAATATCTTCTCTTTCTGATAGGCTCATATCACAGAAGCAATCTCCCTGTTGGCAAGCCCCTGTATTCTTTGCTGTGTTCCTGGACACCAGCCCCAGTTTCAGTGTCTCTCTTGTTCTCTTGTGCAGTATGACTGGTGTTCCTGGATCCCCAACGCCCCACCAACAATGCGCTGCCCTCCTCCAACAGCCAAGGGGACAGTCACCATCGAGCAAATTGTGGAGACTCTGCCAGACAGGGGRCGTTCTTGTTGGCACCTTGGAGCTGTCTGGGCCTTGAGCCAATTCCAGGACAAAGAAGTGAGTCAAGCTCCCTGCTCTGGGTGCGGGAGATGTGAGACCACGAGGCCATGGCACAGGCTCATGGGGCTGTGGTGCTGCCCTGTGCTTGCCTTGGCTGTTTTCACCTCTCTGTGGAGATGTGTCAGTGCTGTGGGTTTGCTCGTGTTCTGCCAGATGCAAGGCAGCTCTGAGTAAGAGGTTGTATTTTTACTCAGAGGCTGCCTCAGCCATTATCAAAGTTCCTAAGCCTGAACATGGCATTGCTGAATAAGGATGCTGGTGTGGCAGGCAGAGGGCCCTGGGTTTTCTCCATTCCTTCCCCCAGGGCTGGGGAAGAAGCTATGGCAGCTCTGTGTCCCCACGTCCTGTTCCTTTGGAAACATGGAAYATATTTGCCATTTGCTCTACAGCCATGGCTTGTGCCTGGCAGTGAGGAGCGAAAGCAAAACCAGCCTACAAAAAGCTTTGCAGGCATGGTCTGTAGTGATTTCTCTCATGTGAAATGAGGTTGTAGGTACTTGGTGGCTTTACCCATGGGCTCTCTCTAGAGAAAGTGCTTTGAAATCCTTAAATAGAAGATGATGGAGAGAGGGTGCTTTAAATTCAGTTTCCCTATAAGCAATGCTAGCAGAGAAGCTTGTACTATGGGAATTAGTTCCCAAACTTCCCAAAGCAATACCAGTGTGCATATTGGCAGTGCACTTTTCAGAGCACCCTTAGAGTCCAAGCTGACTAAAGCAACTGTCATACTGAACTCTGAAGGACAGTTTTAAGTCAACAGAATCTTCCACTGTCACTGATTGAAGTAGTCATCTTCCTTTTAAATYTCTGGCTGTGAATTCCCCTCTTGTGCTATCCTTTTCTCTAGCAGCCCAAATGTTTGTGTGGTCATGCAGAGATCTGGCATAAGCAGCTGATCTGACTGACCTGGCCAGAATAAAAGTGCTTGGTTTTCAGTGGATAAGCTCCCTCAAGGAGGTGCCCTATAGACACCTGAACCATCCCTACAGAAAGATGCAGGGATGGAAAGAAGCAGCCAACAATAGAGGGAAGGTGCAGGCTAGCTTAAATATTGATAATACTMTTTTAAGAGTAGAATTTGTGAGGTGAGGCTCTGGTGGTGTTCACATAAAGTTGAAACAGAATTGCCTTTGCTTTCTCAAAGCAATTTCTTGGTGTTTTTCAATTAGCTRTTTCTAGGCATGTACCCAGATGAACACTTCGTGGAGAAGCCAGTGAAAGAGGCAATGGCAAAATTCCGCAAGAATTTGGATGAGATTGTCAGCAGCATCAGCGAGCGCAACAAGAACAAAAAGCTTCCTTACTACTACCTGTCCCCAGACCGCATCCCCAACAGCGTTGCTGTTTGAGCACGTGGCCAGCAGAGTTTGGAGGCCTGTAAAGCCAATCATGTCTTTCTGTTACACATGCTTCTTCAACTGGCTTTTCAGAAACGGATAAGAAACCAACCCTCTCCTTCAGAGCTGGCCCAAGTCTCTTTGAACCTTCAGAATAAATTTGGTCATGACTGATTTTGCAAACAAAGTCTAACTGACAGCCCTCTAGGTCAAATTTGTCACAAATTTATTTTTCCAGGATTTTTAAACTAATCTTAGACTTCAATATACATGTTTCTGTTATCTTTCCTTCTCCTTGTCAAAACAATGTAATCACAGATTCACTTACTCACTGAATGGAAATAGTATCATGAGCAATAAGCAAGTCAYGTTTTAAAATCCTTCCTGTTTTTAATAGGTGCCACTGTTGGCATAGGAAAAGATAATCTTTAAAGTTTATGTATTGCTTTGAATCKGATTAATGTCATTACCACTGTGAATAGTGTCATCAGGATCAAGGTAGAAGCAGGACATTTCTTAACATATCTGATGGGGTTTTATCACTTTCTTACCCAGTTTGTGTGAAATGAGTTCTCACAGGAGATGAAAATTTTGTACCTRCATAAGCCTACATATTTTCTGCATCAAACTAGGAAGGTTTGTTTTGGCCTCTGCCAGCAGAGCTTGATGTCACATATAGGGACAAACTTAAGAGAATGGGAATAAGTACAGACTTAAAACAGAATTTATGTTTTTTGCTGAGGCTGATGGGGTTCGTGGACAGTTTCATCTGTTTTGTGGGGAATGAAGAGGCTACTTTGTATAATGGAAAAATTTGTGGAGAAGGCTTCATTGACAGCTTCTAAGAGGAACCCTTAGAATTTGCCAGTTAAGGATAACTGGCTGTGTTCCAACTTAGCTACAAACCACCGAGTTTTGTCTGTTTCACTTAGGGATGTTCAGGTTCAAGCACTTTGGCATTGGTTAAAGTTGAGAAAGTCCCTGAGAAAAGCAAACTTGAGGTTTGTGAAACTGAAGAGTTGTGGTTTTGTTGATTAGAATTTAGGTTTATTTTTTCTGAGAATTTGTTCAGTGTACAAAATCCACCAGCCTGCAGAGTGTTTTCTCAATAGATAAAGAAGTTTCTTGTGCTAATAAAAAAACCCTGAACATCTAGCTTTTATTTCATAATTCAGCATCTACTGCTGTATGTCTCAAAAACCTTGTAGGAATAAACACGACGTGCTGTGTAGAGAAATGAAGTAGTTATTTCTATCTTTCACGTGTGATTTGGAAAAGAGTGCTAAAATATACATACTTTCACATGAAACAGGTGTGGAAACTCATTTTAGACCATTTACAACAGAGTGATTCCTGTTTTTCCCCCCAGCCAAAGGCTTTGAGAAAAGCATGGAAGGTAAGACCATTTCCTGCTCTTGAGGTAGCACATTTACAATTTGTKCATCTTCTTCTTACTGAAGCCCATGAGAAGTGATGAGTGCAGGAGCAGAGTCAAACATTGTAAAACAACATGGAATAGGACCAAGGAATCAGACACAACCACCTGTGAGCTCATCCCCTTGAAAACAGAAAAGTACAACTTAAATGCCAAAGGCAACAAGTTGATGCAATATATCCAGCRTGCCAACTCTAACTTTTGTATTTTGCCTGTGTACAAGGAATGTGCTCTTACTTCAGCTTCCCTGTGATAATGATTTGCATATTCAAGTGTCTGTTTAGAAAACAAAATATGGGAAGAGACTGATGGATGTTGTCTTGCATCTGTGCCCTCTGCTGTAGCCTGTGGACGCGGGATACAAGTACAGTTGATGGGAAGTTTGGGGAGTGGAATGTGCAGCTTTGAAAACTGGGATCAGCATCTGATTCAACTGCAGGAGAGGTTGTGGAAAGAGGTAAAGAGTTTAAAAGTACCCAAAGGAAGCAGATACTTGCAAATAATAAAGTGCTTACTTTTCCAGGGAGTCTGGGTGTACATGTTGCTGTCCCAACCTCAGCTCCCTTTTCAACTTGTTTTCATGCATCAGAAAGTCATTCTTCTGTGCATGAGCCCTATGTTCCTCCCCCACATCTTTAGCCATGACTTTCACAGAGGGATCTCCTAAGGCACYAAGGTACAGTACCCATGTGCAGGATCCCTCCAAGGTTGAAATGGAAGTATCAGCCCTCTCTGAAGTCTCGTGTACTCAGCTTTGTGATAGATGCTGGAGCTTGGKGGGCACCAGCCCAGCTCTGAGAGGGTTTGACAGCCAGTAGCTCATATAAAAAATGGATGAATGTTGCTGCTGGCCAGTCCAAGGGAATGTGGTCTGACTGCAACTCGAGTTTCTTTGCTGTCCTTTCCAATTGCAGTGATTCTCAGCTGGCAGGAAGATTGAGCTAGGAGATACCAGCTTCAGGAAGCCCTGCAACATATCTGAACCCACTTTCCTCTTTTTGCAGGGTGAATTCAGCTCTGTAAACTACTTTYAGGATTATCCCTCTCCCAACCCCCAACATCCCTTGCAATAATATGATTCTCACTGCCCCTGAAAACAAAGCCCACATACTTCTTAGTCATCCCATATGAAGTAAGCTACCTTTTTCTTTTCCCTTCAGTCCCCATTTTATGGTGGGGGAATGGAACAAGAGCAGTAAAATCCAGCAATTTTTCTCCTTTTTTCTGATTTGAGGTTCTTCCTTCATAGAAAGAAGGTTCAGGCTTGGCTGCTCGGAATTACTTGCTCTGTTGCATGTTGAAAAGAACATAGAATAAACCCAAAAGATTTCTAACCAGCAAGTTTCAAGCAGCAACTTGCTGCAACTTTCCTGCTACAGTCGTTGCGACGTGGTATCTAGGAAGAAATTGCACACGTTGAGATGGTATCACAAGTGCGTAGTTTGCTTTATTTATACTGTAAACAGGCATAAATATTGCACAATCAGAGATGGTTGGAACGTTTAGAAGTTAACTGAGTCATGGGTTTTTATGGCCAGAAGACACGGTCGTGGTAGCTTAGACTGGTCTGAGCATACCACAGGCATTTGGATTTCCCTGAAGCATTTCCTATTCAAATTCAGTAAGGGGTGCTTGATCTAGGAATTGTCTGTGAACATTTCCTCTCATGATGCACCAAACCACAATTCACCCTGGTGCCTGAGTCACTTGGCTCACTGGTGATTCCCCGTGCTGTGRAATATAAATGCTGCCTTTCTAGTTCTGTGTGCATTCAGGCTTCTTGCAGCAGCCTTGTGTGGCTGAAGATCCTTCTCTGACCATGTTCCCTACTGCATGCTTCCCCTTTCTTTTGGTGAACTGAGTAGATCAGTTTCCTGGAGTCTTCTGCTGTAAGACTTTTTTAAACCTTTTATCTGTTACCACTGTGTGCACAGCATGTGGGCAGATGACAATGATGATTAAATGGCTATTTCAGTCATTATTTCATAGGCTGCATTTCCTCCTGCTTGCAACTGTGTATCTGCAGTTTGTCCATAGAATTACGTCACAAACCACACAGCAAATTATTTGCGTTACTGAACAAATTTKCTGTTTGTGCATAAGTGGTGGACAATATATTCAGTGAGTAAGAGAAATACTAAGCGAGCTCAACTTCTTTAGGACTCTGTCAAACTTCAAATTCAGCRTCCTGTACATCCAGCAGCCTCTAAACTTTCGCTGTAGAGGCATTATCTGTGATGCAGTGCTCTTTGGGTACAGCCTGCAGCTCTCAGACAGATRTTTTGTTTCATTTTACCAAGAAGCTGAGCTGTACCATTTGTCTCAAAGATTCTGCAGTCATGACAGGAAAGGGAACTCTGTTTCTGCCCTCAGGCCTTGGGCAGCACCAAATACAAACTCCAGCCTTTGTTTTCTTTCTGATTCTAGGGTCAGATCTAAACAAGCTACATGACATAATGAGCCAATTCTCTCTCATCTGTCACAAAAATATTATAGGGGTAATTGTCAAAGCTGRTTGGTAACTTTTTGGATCTGGCAACTTTTTATAAAATCTTTTTTGCATGTTCTAGAGCATGGTTTCTATGGCACTGCCTGCTGCCCTGCTGCYTCTCACATATGGTTAGTAGCCATCAATCTTAGACAGTAATCKATAATCAGCATTGATCACTATCATRATAATTGTACAATAACCTGAGAGMATGTTTACTGGAAAGCAGACATGCGTGGTGATAAAGCCAGCCTGATAAGCTGMTGATCAGGTGTTACAAAGTGTTTGGGGAAAGCTTTGAACAGTCTGGCTTTGGTGCTCTCCWGGTCATCACTTGGCTTCAAATGGTAGAAAAGCTGAGTTTGGTCCAGCCTAAAACAAACAGATCTGCTTTGTCTGGCCCTGTCAGAAGCAGAATTGCTACCCTCCTGTGTTTGTGGGAAGTGTTGCCTGATTTCCACTTTGAACCAAAGTAAACATACCCATTAATAAGCTTCATAGTGGACTGCGGAAAATCAGATGCGATTTTGGCATGAAGAAAAATGGTTTTTTTTACATTTTAACCTAAAGCAATGGATTTACACCACTGGAATCCTGCTTAAGCCTGGGCTGTTTCAGTGTATTCAAGCTGTTTCAGCAGCAGCATTTCACAGCAGGTTTTTCTTGTTTGGAGAATAAAAGGCCATCTGGAAGCCTTCTCCTTCCCAGGAGCTGTACTGCTGAAACATTATTTTTCTGACATCATTAGATCTCAAAGGCTAATGAGTCCTACATGATTTAAAAGTAGGGGTATTGGTACTTCTGTCTGCATAGATGGAAGCAAGTAAAAATAATAAATAAGATCCAGTTGTGTTTCTTCTCCCTTTTGCTTTACAGGCCTAAATTGACAGCAAATATATTAATAGTTTCCTTAAAGCATGCATGAGAAATGTTTCTGGAAAGAAAACTTTCCTAACAGTACTTTTGTCTCAAAAGGAAATCAAGAGATGTAACAACAGAAGGATGCAGGAGGGTTTGTAAAATGCACAGAGAGGAGCAGGGAGCTTGTCCTTTTGGTGAGATATTGCTCTGAACAAGTTACTGGGGAGACTTTTGTAAGAATCGTGTATAACTCAGCACTGGTAGAGAGTTAAACACTTGGTTTAAAAATCTGAAGACTGATAAAGATAAATTAGGGATAAGTAAGGATTAACTTTTTGGACACCTATGGCCATATGTCAACATATCGCTGGTATATATGTGAAGAGAAATAGGCTTCCTTRTATTTTTGCCTGGCTGTTTCTTCAGGCAAGTTCAAGAATAGTGATTCACACAACATACTTCCAGTGAAGCATGAAACCACRGTTAAGTGAAACAGTGCTTCAGTTTCATTGTTACTACTTTATCTCTTAAAACTTTATCTGCTTTATCAATAGACTCACTTAAATGCTGCAGTCAAAATCATGTCAAGAGCCAGYAGCTAGACACAGAAAAATTCAAAGAGTGGGACTGTGATTGATTTATCATCACTGGCAATTTATGAACTCAGTCTGGCTGAATCTTGAAAGATTATGCTGACAGTCTAACAAGTGAAAATTCTTTGTGCTGTGGAGATAGCCAAGTCAAACTGCATTAGTTTATAGTTTCATCATTTATGAATGCACATGATAACAGGACAACCAAGTTTAAGAGGAGCCAGGGGAACAAGGAAAAATCCTTGAACAGCTAAAAAAAAATGTAACAGGCAAAGTTATGTATCTGCAGTTTTCCTGTGATACAATAGAAGTTTATTGTTTTTGGTATCGTTTGACCTGCCAAAGTTCATCTATCTCTAGGCCTTCCAAGATGAATGTTTTCACTATGAGAAAAAATTCACTGGGAAAAAAGTGCACATAAAGCCCGGTTTCCTGTTAGTTATATGTGTGGTGCAAGTACTGAATGGTGTTTTCACACCAAATTTTCTTAGGCCAGTAACGTTTCAAAATATATTTTGGATGTATTTTTGGTTTTCCAGATCTTGAGCCACTTAAAGCTGGAAAAWGTCACTTGTTTCTTCCTAATGCAAACTTAAATCCCCAAACTGTTCTTTACTCTTTTWACTCTTCAGTCATCCACAAAGTTAATTAAATTCATAGGACCAGTGAATGCAACTTTTTCTTCRTTGCAAATAAATGGAAGTCCTTCCTTTAAAGTCAACTGACTTTCACCAAGGTTATTGAAGGAGGCGCTCAGATCTTCATTGCCACAACAGGTAAGATTCAAATTCTGTCTTTTCTTCATAAATACGACATCAACTTGCTGCCAGTGGTGTTGATTTTCAGGCTCTGAAAATGACTCGTGACTGTTCGTGAGAGTTGATGTCGCCCAGACTGAAGATGGTCCTTCACACACTGCAGCATGAGAAAT